CCTAACAATTTATCCAAAATTTGGGTGAGCATTTTAAGGAATGAAGAACAATTTTATTTATATTATTTTTAAGCTGCATCTCTTACGAACCCATCCCTGCCCTTGCGTGGCAGTGCACAATAGAAAGTTGTAATTACATAGTCGTACATTGAAATGTGTATACAGTCTAATGTAGTTGATTGAAACTATGATATATGTGTGCTTCAGCCTACAGTTTAGACCTATTGTCTTGTGTATGACCCTCTGTCCTGTGTGACAGTGAATACCAGCATTATCCTCACCCTAATAAGACCTAATTGAATTACTCAGATTAAGCAAAATTGTAATAAATTTTTGTCAGTAAAGATGCTATAATAATAATAATATATCTGTCTCTCTCTCTTTCTCTGTGTGTGTTGTGTGTGTGTGTGTGTGTGTGTGTGGTTGTGTGGTGTGTGTGTGTGTGTGTGTGTGTGTGTGTGTGTGTGTCTGTGTGTGTCTGTCTCTCTGTCTCTCTGTCTCTCTGCCTCTCTCTCTGCCCCTCTCTCTCTCTCTCTCTCCCTCCTCTCCTCTCTCTCTCAGATTGTGCTGGCTGGGCCTTACTGGTTTTCCCGCCGCACTCCAGCACCTGCGGTGGCGCCTCCGCACATTCCCCCTCCCACCCTCCTCTCCCTCCATGTCGCTGCTCACCACCCTGCTTGCAATTCGTACCTTTCCTTCCCTCACCCTCCGAACCGTGGCTCTCAACCTGGGGTGCAAGAGAGGTCCCCCCTCGCAGCCTGTGACATGCTAGGTCTTTAGTATATTATATAACAGACAAACATTTGTAAGCACAGATTAAGGACGTCCATGAGAGAAATAAATACAGATTGTATTTATTTGTCTGTCCAAAGGAGGTGCTTGAAGCTATAGCCTCGCCTAACTTTAAAAAAATAACACATGACGTTGGGGCCGGGCTGGGGGGGGGGGGGAAGGTTGTATGCGAGTGTCATAGACCACAGTCGGGGGTCGGCCCCAGTGCCACCCTTTAATGAAGGAATATTGGCAAATATAGCAACCCCCCTGTGATAATCATGAAGCTTTAAATCGGGATGTATTTTCCGTAGAGCTTCAGCAGTTTTTTGTTGTTATTACATTTTATGAGAGAGAGAGAGAGGGGGGGGCTTTACCTCAACGATGGTTAAATGTTGGTCTAACAAAGACGTAACCTGACCATAAGTTACTATCTAAGCCTTTCGTTAATTACATTTGCATTACTAACGCAACTCAAGATATCCTTGGAACTATTACGCCACTTGCTATTTTTAGGACACTGACATCCATGTTAAGAGAATTAATGAAAATGTGTTATCATAAGTTAATTTAAACTGTACATATAGTGAATAAAGTGCATATCATAAATGAGCTATACAATAATATAAAAGACAAGATCTCTGGGAAGGCCTTGACCAGATTCGTGTGGTAAAGTTCCATCTCAAGGACACATTGTTCTCTCTCATCCCTCTATTGTTGTCGATGTAGTAATTATTTGTCCAAATTATATGGCGGATGAGTCAGTCTCGTCTTGATGAATGACAAGCTTTACTGCCTTAAAGAAACTGTCAAGGTTATGAATGGCTGTGAGTCATTATTTAAATGACGAGTTTAATGGCATTGTAAAGTCAGGAAATCCCAGTTAATCTCTTCTGGTCAGTGACCCTTTCACAACCTCGCTAGCACTATACACACACACTATATGTAGTAGATATGGTTGAAGGAAATTAGGCTGGGAGTCAGTATTTTAGACATTCTACGGTTAGAAAGGCAGGGGCCCAGGAGCTAACAGCTCGATCCTGCAGGCACAAAACGAAACACACACACACACACACACACAGTTAAGGGGAGACATGATAACCACCTACAAAATTCTCGGGGGAATTGAAAGGGTGGACAAAGACAAACTCTTCAGCACGGGTGGGACACGAACAAGGGGACACAGGTGGAAACTTAGTACCCAGAGGAGCCACAGAGACGTTAGAAACAATTTTTTCAGTGTCATAGTAGTTAATAAATGGAATGCATAGGCAGTGATGTGGTGACACAACAGGCTAGTGAAAAGACAGGAGTGGAAAGGAGTCACTGTGAGGGGGTGAGGTCTCAGATTGGCGAGACGTCACAAGTGGAGTCCCGCAGGGGTCAATCCTTGGACCTATACTGTTTCTGATATATGTAAATGATCTCCCAGAGGGTATAGACTCGTTTCTCTCAATTTTTGCTGATGACGCAAAAATTATGAAGAGGATTGAAACAGAGGAGGATAGTAGGAGGCTACAAGATGACCTGGACAGATTGAATGAATGGTCCAACAAATGACTGCTCAAGTTCAACCCAAGTAAATGCAAAGTAATGAAACTCAGCAGCGGAAACAGAAGGCCAGACACAGGATACAGAATGGGAGATGAAGTACTTCAGGAAACGAACAGAGAGAGATCTTGGGGTTATCACACCAAACCTGTCTCCTGAAGCCCACATAAAAAGAATTACGTCTGCGGCATATGCGAGACTGACTAACTTCAGAACATCCTTCAGGAACTTGTGTAAGGAATCATTCAGAATCTTGTACACCACATATGTAAGACCAATCCTGGAGTATGCGGCCCCAGCGTGGAGCCCGTACCTTGTCAAGCACAAGACGAAGCTGGAAAAAGTTCAGAGGTATACTACTAAACTAGTCCCGGAGCTAAGAGGCATAAGTTACGAGGAAAGAGTGCGAGAGATGCACCTTACGACACTGGAAGACAGAAGAGTAAAGGGAGACATGATCACTACCTACAAAATCCTCAGGGGTATTGACAGGGTAGACAAGGATAAACTATTCAACACTGGTGATACGCAAACAAGGGGACAGGTGGAAACTGAGTACCCAAATGAGCCACAGGGACGTTAGAAAGAACTTTTTCAGTGGCAGAGTAGTTAACAGGTGGAATGTATTAGGCAGTGATGTGGTGGAGGCTGACTCCATACACAGTTTTAAGTGTAGATATGATAGAGCCCAGTAGGCTCAGGAATCTGTACACCAGTTGATTGACGGTTGAGAGGCGAGACCAAAGAGCCAAAGCTCAACCCCCGCAAGCACAACAATTAGCTGAGTACAATTAGGTGAGTACCCACACACACACACACACACACACACACACACACACACACACACACACTAGGTAAATAGGTACCTGGGAGTTAGACAGCTGTTATGGAGCTGCTTCCTGGGGGGGAGGGGGAAATTAGTTACAGTTGAGAGGCAGGCCGAAACAGCAGAGCTCAACCCCCGCAAGAACAATTATGTGAATACAAATAGGTGAAAACACACACACACATATATCTCGTTCCATAAGACTAAACTGGATAAGGTTCAAAGGTTTGCCACCAGACTAGTACCCGAACTGAGGGGTATGAGCTATGAGGAGAGACTTTGGGAATTTAACCTCACGGTGCTGTAAAACAGAAGAGTTAGGGGGGACATGATCACTACATACAAGATTCTCAAAGGGATTGATAGAGTAGATAAAGATAGACTATTTAACACAAGGGGCAAACACACTAGGGAACACAGTTGGAAATTGAGTGCCCAAATGAGCCATAGGGACATTAGAAATAATTTGTTTAGTGTCAGAGTAGTTGACAAATGGAATGCTTTAAGAAGTGATGTGGTGGAGGCTGACTACATACACAGTTTCAAGTGTAGATATGACAGAGCCCAATATCATCAGGAACCTGTACATCAGTTGATTGACAATTGAAAGGCGGGACCAAAGAACAAGAGCTCAATCCCCCCCCACAAACACAACTAGGTGAGCACACACACACACACACACAAATATATTTTCAAGGCGTTGTACGACAAAGAGTGCTGGGAAGACGGGACAACACGAGCATATCTCATCCTGTAACTACACTTAGGTAATTACACACACACACACACACACACACACACACACACACATCTATATGTTTATATATATATATATATATATATATATATATATATATATATATATATATAATATATATATGTCGTACCTATAGCCAGAACGCACTTCTCAGCCTACTATTCAAGGCCCGATTTGCCTAATAAGCCAAGTTTTCATGAATTAATTGTTTTTCGACTACCTAACCTACCTAACCTAACCTAACCTAACTTTTTCGGCTACCTACCCAACTAACCTACCTATAAAGATAGGTTAGGTTAGGTTAGGTAGGGTTGGTTTAGGTTTGGTCATATATCTACGTTAATTTTGAAACTCCAATAAAAAAAAATTGACCTCATACATAATGAAATGGGTACTTTATCATTTCATAAGAAAAAAATTAGAAAAAATATATTAATTCAGGAAAACTTGCTTATAAGGCAAATCGGGCCTTGATAGTAGGCCAAAAAGTGAGTTCTGGCTACTAGGTACGACATATATATATATATATATATATAATATAATATGCAACAATGACCACAAAAACACTATTCTAAGTAATGCGGAAAAAACCACATTTGAAAAACAGATAATGCTAAACGCGTTTTCGGCTCAATTCGCTTTCATCAGAGCAAAAAAAGAATGAAAGATTGATTCTTTTTGCCCTGATGAAGGCGAATTGAACCGAAAACGCGTTTAGCATTCTTTGTTTTATATAGTTTCACATTAAATAATAGTGATTTCAGTTTATAGAGTTTGTGTGTAGATAGTTCAGCCAAGTTTTAGTAACTCTTTCTCTTCCTTTACTACTGTGAACTACCGTGACCCCTATTCCAAGACGCGCCTCTTGATCACCTCAAGAACTGTAGTAGGCATCCGTCAGTCTCAGGAGACTATTGAACTGACACTCACAATTATTACTCTACTACATATATATTAGGTACACCAGATGAACACCTTCATGCAAGATAAAGTGAGTCTAGAGGAGCCTTGAGGGGTTGAGCTCCTTCCTGTCTGGTGGTCTGAGAGTTACTACATTACTGCTCTCGTTACTACATAACACGTTTGTTTTGACAGACTAGCCAGCGTGTGTGAAGATGACGCAGACGGCGCTGTGGACGGTGGGTGTGGTGGCCGCCACGCTCATCGCGCTGGCCCAAACTCAGATAGTATTTCCTGATGGTGCTGCTCAAGCCTTTGCCACTGCCGGGGCGGGAGCCGGCGTGGATGTGTCAGCTAGCTCCTATGCCAGTGCTGACAGCGGCAGCATCCAGGACAGCATCCAGAGGAGCATCCAGGGCACCCTAGCGGTGCTGCCCAGACTAGGGATCCCTGCACTGCCAGACATCGTCTTTCCCCGAGAAGTTTTTCAGCCTGAGGTGAGGTTTTATACGATTATTTATTATAATATTTTCCGTCATTGATTATAAATAATGAATAGCTCCCGTCCAACACCTTGGACTGAACGGTGGAGCGACGGTTTTGCTTCATGCAGGTCGGTGTTCAATCCCCGACCGCCCAAGTGGTTAGGCACCAATCCTTTCCCCTGTCATTGGGGGGTACAAATAACCTAAGGTACTCTATCCCTTTGAGATGTATTTCTTTCTTGTCTCAATAAACATACTTGAACTTGATCCCCCGTCCCATCCCAAATCCTTGTCCTGATCCCTTCCAAGTGCTATATAGTCGTAATGGCTTGGCGCTTCTCCCCCCTGATAATTCTCTCCCTTCCCTCCTGTTCACTGAAAAGTATGTACTCACCTAATTGTGCTTATAGTGGTTTGGACTTCGGCTCTTTGGTCCCCCACGGCTTGGTGCCTTCTTTTGATAATTATCTAAGTTTATAGTACAGTACTGTCTTGGCATTTACGGCTTCGGCGGGTAGGCGGTTCCATGAGTTTATAATCCTGTGGGTGAAAAAGCATCTCCTGTTTTCTGTCCTACAATGTGGCTTGTTGAACTTGAAGCTCTTGCCCTTGTTTGTGTTATATCTGACTTTTAAAGAAGTGGACTTGATTAGTATCATCCAGGTTGTTCATTACAATATTGTAAAAGTTGCAATGAGGTGCAGACGATGAGTCACAATAACGGGGTTGAAGATATGATGACCAGACCACACACCTGAAGATGATGAGACGACGACGTTTCGGTCCGTCGTGGACCATTACCTAGTCGTGTGTGAGGACCACTTGATTATTATTATTATTAATTCATTTTGTTGACAGGCATTTTGTTTATATATACATGTTAGGCTTATATCATTGTCCTTCCAACCACGAACTACTGAGCCTCTCCAGGATACAGCCTCATGACAAGCTAACTCCTGGGTACCTATTTATTACTGGGTGAACAGGTGCATTAGATGATAGGAAACACGCCCAACCATTTCTGTCCCGCTGGGAATTCCCAACTGTGAGTGGAGAACAAACCTACTTGTACTAGCGGGAAACTTTGATCCTTTATACTTACACTAAACAATAATATTCATCACTTGTCCGTTCCCGAAATAATCATCACAGCTTGGATTAAAATTGTAGACAGCAGTCACAAATTCTATATCCATACAATATAATGTCAATCTAAGGTTGTAGGCCAGACGCTTCAGGCTAGTCTCATTATACTTTACAGAATTAATGCTTATTTTAGGGGGGGGGGGGGGGGAATCGGAGCCAAGGGGTAGCATGGGACCCTATGATCTTCCTTCACGAAGTCGGTGGATGTGAAATGTTCTGCCCCGAGCCAGTACACTTTAGCATTTATTTGTAATGTTAGTACATTTAGATATTGGTATGTAAAATGTAATTTAAGATGACAGATTTGCATTTTGGCCGCAACCATTTGATGAGAGATGGGGAGGGTGTGTCTTGGGAGGGGGGGAGGAGATGGGGAGGGTGTGTCTTGGGAGGGGGGGAGGAGATGGGGAGGGTGTGTCTTCGGGGGGGGGGAGATGGGGAGGGTGTGTGCTGAGGAGAAAGGTAAATCTTTTTTGTAGCTTGGCATAAACATACAGAGACACACCATAGTATTTGTATTAAGTTGATAGTGTTTCAGCAGGTCCCGTGCACTACGTACCTCGGGCAGCAGGGCTCCTGCCGCCGCCTGGTGCAGTGCGCCACCTTCTTCGCCGAGATCGCCCAGCTCTCCCGCTCCCCGTGCGTCATCAGCGACGCCCAGCAGGGCGTCTGCTGCCCCCACACTAAGCAGCCCTCAACAGGTTAGTGCCACACTAAGCAGCCCTCAACAGGTTAGTGCCACACTAAGCAACCCTCAGCAGGTTAGTGCGACACCAAGCAACTATATCGTCTCATGTGCCTCTGTTGCGTGATTACAGTACAATATTATCTTACTAGTTTATGGTTGGACAAAGAAACATTCAAGACAGTTGGGGAACTCGCAGCACGCTTCGCCATTTTCAGTACACCACTGTCGCTGATGGCCACGACGGGGACAGGAACCTTGTGGCTCCATGTTTACTTGTAAATTAAAGTATTAGCTTGCATCCTTAGGATGGAAAAAACACTTTTTTTCTGTCTAACATTGTGGTTTATTGAGCTTGTAGTTGTTGCTCCTTTTGTGAGTTATATTGGACTTTTTAAAGAAGTGGTCTGTATTATTATCCTCCAACTTGTTAAGTATTTTAATGGTTTCGATGAGATGAGCACAGTCATGTCTGGTTTGTAGTGTTATTGGTCAACCGTTCCTTGTATCAGATTTGACCTCATACTGGTATGATGTTATGTCGCTCTCACCTCCATCTTTCCCCACGGTACATGTGTCGCAGCAACCCATCCTCCTGTTTAGATGGCATCTATTGTGACCTCCGTCAATAGTCACGAATTAATAAATGAATAAATAAATAAATGTTTATTCAGGTAAGGTACATACATCGAGAGGTTTTACAAAAATTGATAGATTTATAGAGCTAGTACATACAATGCCTAAAACCACTATTACGCAAAGCGTTTCGGGCAGGTACTTACTTAGTACTTATTAGTACAATTAGTACTTAGCTTTTAGATAGTATTATACTGACTAATAAGGAATTATTTTAAAATAAATGAAGCTTTAAAACAAGCTTAAATATTTCTAGGCCTAGTATAGCACACATGTACTATATTAGGCCGCAGATATCGTGTATTAGGCCTAGGAGGTGGCCCCGGTGGAGGCGGAGACAAATGGGCAAAATATTTATTTCACCCTGATGCTCCTGTTACCTAGCAGTAAATAGGTACCTGGGAGTTAGTCAGCTGCAACAGGCTGCTTCCTGGGGGGGGGGTGTAACAAAAAGGAGGCCTGGCCGAGGACCGAGCCGCGAGGACGCTAAGCCCCGAAATCATCTCAAGATAACCTCAAGTAGGCAGGTTAGGTTAGTTTAGTTTGGCCAAGCAACACAAGGGAAAAATTATTATCCCGTTTGTCCAACTCAATAGTGGCGATTTCCACTTTCTAACTGCGTTGTATGTCGGTATATGTACTATTGGTGCTCATCGTTAGTATAAGTACTACCACAACAGGAGGACGGGCTGCATCTCGTTTCCTGCCCGAAACGCGGCTCGAACTAGTTAGTGGCTTTACCAGATTGTAAATTACCAAGCTATGTATTCTCACAAACCCAACCCGCCAAACACACACCGAAACTACGACGTTGGTACAACGTTCGAACAAGTTTTAACACTTCCTAACCAGTTATAACAACCAATATAGCAAGTTGTAACAACGTTCTAATACGTCATAAACACGTTAAGCCAAGATGTAACAGCTTTATTACAAGTTGTAACAAGCGGAAAATAGAGACAGTTTCGGTTTGTGTTTCCAGGGAATGTACCTTCTTGTATATATATTAATAAATCATAACGGCAAGGTTAAGCAACCAGGAGGCCTGGTCGACGACCGGGCCGCGGGGACGCTAAGCCCCGGAAGCACCTCAAGGTAGCCTCAAGGTAAGGTCACCGTCCTTGGATACAAGAATACAGCAAGTCCAGAGGGGGCGGGGGGCACCAGGGCTTTGTACTACTGAATAACCACAATACATTTTCTATACTGTCAGAGGATCTTTGGACTATTTCTGAAGTTTGGTTGACTTTTGTATATTTTACTCCAGCTCTTACTTGTTAAGCTACTTTTAATGGGTGGAGCATAACTCCGAGGCTTTTATGTTGAGCATATACACACAGACGAGGCTTCCACACACACACACACACACACCACACACACACACACACACACACACACACACACACACACACACACACACACACACAGACGAGGCTTCCACACACACACACACACACACAGACGAGGCTTACACACACACACACACACACACACACAGACGAGGCTTCCACACACACACACACAGACGAGGCTTCCACACACACACACACAGACGAGGCTTCCACACACACACACACAGACGAGGCTTCCACACACACACACACAGACGAGGCTTCCACACACACACACAGACGAGGCTTCCACACACACACACAGACGAGGCTTCCACACACACACACAGACGAGGCTTCCACACACACACACAGACGAGGCTTCCACACACACACACACACAGACGAGGCTTCCACACACACACACACACAGACGAGGCTTCCACACACACACACAGACGAGGCTTCCACACACACACACACAGACGAGGCTTCCACACACACACACAGACGAGGCTTCCACACACACACACACAGACGAGGCTTCCACACACACACACACAGACGAGGCTTCCACACACACACACACAGACGAGGCTTCCACACACACACACACAGACGAGGCTTCCACACACACACACAGACGAGGCTTCCACACACACACACACAGACGAGGCTTCCACACACACACACAGACGAGGCTTCCACACACACACACACAGACGAGGCTTCCACACACACACACACAGACGAGGCTTCCACACACACACACACACAGACGAGGCTTCCACACACACACACACAGACGAGGCTTCCACACACACACACAGACGAGGCTTCCACACACACACACACAGACGAGGCTTCCACACACACACACAGACGAGGCTTCCACACACACACACACAGACGAGGCTTCCACACACACACACACAGACGAGGCTTCCACACACACACACACAGACGAGGCTTCCACACACACACACACAGACGAGGCTTCCACACACACACACACACACACAGACGAGGCTTCCACACACACACACACACACACAGACGAGGCTTCCACACACACACACACAGACGAGGCTTCCACACACACACACAGACGAGGCTTCCACACACACACACACAGACGAGGCTTCCACACACACACACACAGACGAGGCTTCCACACACACACACACAGACGAGGCTTCCACACACACACACAGACGAGGCTTCCACACACACACACAGACGAGGCTTACACACACACACACACACACACAGAGACGAGGATTACACACACACACACACACACACACACACACACACACACACATGCGAGGCTGTTTAACATCAGAACAGCGTTCAGGAACCTGTGTAAGGAAACATTCAGAATCTTGTACACCACATATGTAAGACCAATCCTGGAGTATGCGGCCCCAGCATGGAGCCCGTACCTTGTCAAGCACAAGACGAAGCTGGAAAAAGTCCAAAGGTATGCCACTAGACTAGTCCCAGAACTAAGAGGCATGAGTTACGAGGAAAGGCTGCGGGAAATGCACCTTACGACACTGGAAGACAGAAGAGTAAGGGGAGACATGACCACAACCTACAAAATCCTCAGAGGAATCGACCGGGTAAACAAGGATGAACTATTCAACACTGGTGGGACGCGAACAAGGGGACACAGGTGGAAACTGAGTACCCACATGAGCCACAGAGACGTTAGAATGAACTTTTTCAGTGTCAGAGTAGTTAACGGATGGAATGCATTAGGCAGTGATGTGGTGGAGGCTGACTCCATACACAGTTTTTAATGTAGATATGATAGAGCCCAGTAGGCTCAGGAATCTGTACACCAGTTGATTGACAGTTGAGAGGCGGGACCAAAGAGCCAAAGCTCAACTCCCGCAAGCACAAATAGGTGAGTACAAATAGGTGAGTAGGTGAGTACACACACACACACACACACACACACACACACACACACACACACACACACACACACACACACACACACACAACTATTAGGGAAACTATGAGGAAATGAATAAATTCCTATGGGATATGCATTGGGACACAGAACTCGGAACCAAGTCCGTACAAGACATGATGGACTATGTCACCCAAAAATGTCAGGAGGCTGTAAGCAGGTTTGTCACAGCCCGACAGGAAAAAACAGAGAAGCAAAGGAAGAATCCGTGGTTTAATAAGGAATGTATGAAAGCAAAGGAGCAGAACAAAAGGGCATGGAGGAACTTCCGTAATAACAGAACACCAGAAAGTAGAGAGAGAGATACCAGAGAACCAGGAACGAGTATGTCAGTGTGAGAAGAGCAGCTGAGAAAAGGTATGAAAATGATATAGCTAATAAAGCCAAGACCGAACCCAAGCTACTACACAGTCACATCAGGAGGAAGACAACAGTGAAGGAACAGGTGATGAAACTTAGGGTGGGCGAGGACAGGTACACAGAGAATGACAAAGAGGTGTGTGAAGAACTCAACAAAAGGTTCCAGGAGGTCTTTACAATAGAACAGGGAGATGTCGCGGCGCTAGAAGAGGTGGCAGCAAACCAGGTGACCTTGGATAGGTTCGAAATTACAAGAGATGAGGTCAAGAAGCACCTATTGGAGCTGGATGTGAGAAAAGCTGTTGGGCCGGATGGAATCTCGCCATGGGTATTGAAAGAGTGTGCAGGAGCACTTTGCCTACCACTCTCCATAGTGTATAGTAGGTCACTGGAAACGGGGGACCTACCAGAAATATGGAAGACTGCTAATGTAGTACCAATATACAAAAAGGGTGACAGACAAGAGGCACTGAACTACAGGCCAGTGTCCTTAACTTGTATACCATGCAAGGTGATGGAGAAGATTGTGAGAAAAAACCTAGTAACACATCTGGAGAGAAGAGACTTCGTGACAGCCCATCAACATGGGTTCAGGGAGGGTAAATCTTGCCTTACAGGATTGATAGAATTCTACGATCAGGTGACAAAGATTAAACAAGAAAGAGAAGGGTGGGCGGACTGCATTTTTTTGGACTGTCGGAAAGCCTTTGACACAGTACCCCATAAAAGGTTGATGCATAAGCTAGAGAAACAGGCAGGAGTAACTGGTAGGGCGCTCCAGTGGATAAGGGAGTACCTAAACAATAGGAAGCAGAGAGTTACAGTGAGGGGTGAGACCTCAGACTGGCGTGAAGTCACCAGTGGCGTCCCACAGGGCTCTGTACTTGAACCTATCCTGTTTCTGATATACGTAAATGATCTCCCAGAGGGTATAGACTCATTCCTCTCAATGTTTGCTGACGACGCCAAAATTATGAGAAGGATTAAGACGGAGGAGGACAGCTTGAGGCTTCAAGAAGACCTGGACAAGCTGCAGGAATGGTCGAACAAATGGCTGTTAGAGTTTAATCCAAGCAAATGTAATGTAATGAAGATAGGGGTAGGAAGCAGGAGACCAGATACAAGGTATCACTTGGGAGATGAAATACTTCAAGAGTCCGAGAGAGAGAAAGACCTGGGGGTTGATATCACGCCAGACCTGTCCCCTGATGCTCATATCAAGAGGATAACAGCAGCAGCATATGCCAGGTTGGCTAACATAAGAACGGCCTTTAGAAACTTGTGTAAGGAATCTTTCAGAACATTATGTACCACATATGTCAGACCAATCCTGGAGTATGCGGCACCAGCATGGAGTCCATATCTAGTCAAGCATAAGACTAAAATGGAAAAGGTTCAAAGGTTTGCCACCAGACTAGTACCCGAGCTGAGAGGTATGAGCTACGAGGAGAGACTACGGGAATTAAACCTCACTTCGTTGGAAGACAGAAGAGTTAGGGGGGACATGATCACCACATTCAAGATCCTCAAGGGAATTGACAGGGTTGATAAAGACAGGCTGTTTAGCACAAGGGGCACACGCACTAGGGGACACAGGTGGAAACTGAGTGCCCAAATGAGCCACAGAGATATTAGAAAGAACTTTTTTAGTGTCAGAGTGGTTGACAAATGGAATGCATTAGGAAGTGATGTGGTGGAGGCTGACTCCATACACAGTTTCAAGTGTAGATATGATAGAGCCCAATAGGCTCAGGAACCTGTACACCTGTTGATTGACAGTTGAGAGGCGGGACCAAAGAGCCAGAGCTCAACCCCCGCAAGCACAACTAGGTGAGTACAACTAGGTGAGTACACACACACACACACCGCTGGAAGACAAAAGTTAGGAGGGACATGATCACCACATTCAAGATTCTCAAGGGAATTGATAGGGTAGATAAACACAGACTATTTAACACAAGGGGCACACGCACAAGGGGACACAGGTGGAAACTGAGCGCCCAAATGAGCCACAGAGATATTAGAAAGAACTTTTTTAGTGTCAGAGTGGTTGACAAATGGAATGCATTAGGAAGTGATGTGGTGGAGGCTGACTCCATACACAGTTTCAAGTGTAGATATGATAGAGCCCAATAGGCTCAGGAACCTGTACACCTGTTGATTGACGGTTGAGAGGCGGGACCAAAGAGCCAGAGCTCTTTGAGCCCGCAAGCACAACTAGGTGAGTACACACACACACACACACACACACACAGACGAAGCTGAACGCGCGCACACACACAGACGAAGCTGAACGCGCGCACACACACAGACGAAGCTGAACGCGCGCACACACACAGACGAAGCTGAACGCGCGCACACACAGACGAAGCTGAACGCAGGCACACACTCAGACGAAGCTGAACACACACACACACACACACACACACACACACACACACACACACACAGACGAGAGATCCCTCCCCTGAACAGCAGCAAAAGTTTACACGTAGATCATTAACATTATACTAATGTTACTTGGCGCCGGGCAGATGTGGGAGGACTGATTAGCAAGCAGGATCCCGTGACGGCCGTGATGCCTGATCTCAAACCGCAGCAAATCCACGAAGCCTGTGAGTGGGGCATCAAGGAGCTTCACAAAAAGGAGGTCTTCGAGGAAGAACTGGTGAGTGACATAACATTGCTCAAAAGTAGATATATACGCACCAGTCACTACTCTTTTATCGTGTATGTGTGGTTGTTGTACAATGCGAAAAACCCACATGTGGAAACACACTCCCCCAGCCCTCCCTAGCAATTTCAGCTTGGTCCCCCGCCCTGGGCAAGGTTCCCCGCCCTGGACAAGGTCCCCCAGCCTAGGCAAGGTTCCCCGCCCTAGGGCAAGGTTCCCCGCCCTAGGGCAAGGTTCCCCGCCCTGGACAAGGTCCCCCAGCCTAGGCAAGGTTCCCCGCCCTAGGGCAAGGTTCCCCTGCCCTGGGCAAGGTTCCCCCGCCCTGGGCAAGGTTCCCCCGCCCTGGGCAAGGTTCCCCCGCCCTGGGCAAGGTTCCCCCGCCCTGGGCAAGGTTCCCCCCGCCCTGGGCAAGGTTCCCCCCGCCCTGGGCAAGGTTCCCCCCGCCCTGGGCAAGGTTCCCCCCGCCCTGGGCAAGGTTCCCCCCGCCCTGGGCAAGGTTCCCCCCGCCCTGGGCAAGGTTCCCCCGCCCTGGGCAAGGTTCCCCCCGCCCTGGGCAAGGTTCCCCCCGCCCTGGGCAAGGTTCCCCCCGCCCTGGGCAAGGTTCCCCCGCCCTGGGCAAGGTTCCCCCGCCCTGGGCAAGGTTCCCCCGCCCTGGGCAAGGTTCCCCCGCCCTGGACAAGATAGTTGACTAGATGCCAATCTTTATAGCCATTTACCCTTGCTCACGCAGCAATAATTGAGGACCCTAGTTGTAAATCAACCTACGGATCGTGGTAGAGAGAAACTAGTATAAGGCTTATTTTTAACTCTAGAAAAAGAAAGATGTAAGCCTGCTACCAGGAGTCACTATTATCCTACTATTAATATACCAACCTATGTTAAAAAAAAGATTAATTCACCTGATTTTAAAAAGTTTGTATAAAGACAAGAATTGTATTGTTTGAGAGCAGTTGAAGAACAATATCGTAGCGAAGGAAGGGACTCCAGTGTACGCCCACGCCCAACTCTTCCAGACCACAGATAAAATCGTCCAGAAAGCCAAAGATGCCTTCAAGAGCGTGGCCGCCTCCATCATGTTGGTCGAGCAGTAAGTATAAGGGTACTCGGCCAGTTGGCGGCCAAGCAGGCTGTCTCGGCCAGCTGGCGGCCAAGCAGGCTGTCTCGGCCAGCTGGCGGCCAAGCAGGCTGTCTCGGCCAGCTGGCGGCCAAGCAGGCTGTCTCGGCCAGCTGGCGGCCAAGCAGGCGGTCTCGGCCAGCTGGCGGCCAAGCAGGCTGTCTCGGCCAGCTGGCGGCCAAGCAGGCTGTCTCGGCCAGCTGGCGGCCAAGCAGGCTGTCTCGGCCAGCTGGCGGCCTAGCAGGCTGTCTCGGCCAGCTGGCGGCCAAGCAGGCTGTCTCGGCCAGCTGGCGGCCAAGCAGGCTGTCTCGGCCAGCTGGCGGCCAAGCAGGCTGTCTCGGCCAGCTGGCGGCCAAGCAGGCTGTCTCGGCCAGCTGGCGGCCAAGCAGGCTGTCTCGGCCAGCTGGCGGCCAAGCAGGCTGTCTCGGCCAGCTGGCGGCCAAGCAGGCTGTCTCGGCCAGCTGGCGGCCAAGCAGGCTGTCTCGGCCAGCTGGCGGCCAAGCAGGCTGTCTCGGCCAGCTGGCGGCCAAGCAGGCTGTCTCGGCCAGCTGGCGGCCAAGCAGGCTGTCTCGGCCAGCTGGCGGCCAAGCAGGCTGTCTCGGCCAGCTGGCGGCCAAGCAGGCTGTCTCGGCCAGCTGGCGGCCAAGCAGGCTGTCTCGGCCAGCTGGCGGCCAAGCAGGCTGTCTCGGCCAGCTGGCGGCCAAGCAGGCTGTCTCGGCCAGCTGGCGGCCAAGCGCGCTGTCGAAGAACTGTGTTTGCACCCTTGATTGATAATGTTTTGGACACAGTGTACAATATTCCTACAATAACATACAGTGTAAAACTAGTAATTGCCTAGATTCGGATGTATACAGAACGCATGTTACAAATAAATTCGGTACCTTAACTCTTAGCTGAGCGTGTTTTACCTCTCCCGTAGCTTCAAGCTGACAAAAGAACAGGGTGGGTTCGGTCTGCCACAGTTCGGCCTTCAGAACACGATTATTGCCAACACGTGTCCCAAAGAGCCACCGTGTCCGGTAACCAAGTACCGGACCATTAACGGAACATGCAACAACAGGCGGAACAAGAACTGGGGCAGCGCCGGGGTCGCCTTTCAGCGCATCCTGCCTCCAGATTACCACGATGGTGCGTACTCATTAATTGATTGGCTTAATGACACATAAAACAAATTACTGCTTGTTATAAACATTCAGATGCTTTTCATTGAATGTTTGCACCATTAGGAATATATAATATTTATAGAATATGTTGTTTTGTGGCATTCTTCGGGGTGAGTGATCTGGCCACTCACGCTGTCTGCTCCTCAGGTGTAAACTCCGCCCGCCAGCAGGCCAAGTCCGGGGCCCCTCTGCCCTCCCCCAGGTCCATCTCTTCTAGGGTGATCATTGATCGCGACAATCTCTACGACAACTTCACCATCCTCATCATGCAGTGGGGCCAGTTTCTCGACCACGATATTACCCACACACCCATCACCAAGGGTAAGTCCATCCCTGTGGTTAAAAATTATACCTTAACTTTGTCTCTGCCGGACGTTTGGGCGCCCAAAGGGAGGTGGACCTCTTCGCGTCGGCCCGGTTGAGGCGTCTTCCGGTATATATGGCGCCCTTCCCCGACTGTGAGGCCGTCGGAGAAGAGCGTTTACTTCCCCGACTGTGAGGCCGTCGGAGAAGAGCGTTTACTTCCCCGGCTGTGAGGCCGTCGGAGAAGAGCGTTTACTTCCCCGACTGTGAGGCCGTCGGAGAAGAGCGTTTACTTCCCCGACTGTGAGGCCGTCGGAGAAGAGCGTTTACTTCCCCGACTGTGAGGCCGTCGGAGAAGAGCGTTTACTTCCCCGACTGTGAGGCCGTCGGAGAAGAGCGTTTACTTCCCCGACTGTGAGGCCGTCGGAGAAGAGCGTTTACTTCCCCGACTGCGAGGCCGTCGGAGAAGAGCGTTTACTTCCCCGACTGCGAGGCCGTCGGAGAAGAGCGTTTACTTCCCCGACTGTGAGGCCGTCGGAGAAGGGTGTTTAGGGGAAGGGCGTCGGGGGAAGGGTTTAGCCAATGGCTAAACCTCAGTGATATGATCACGTCCGACAAAAAGCACATATCATGGCGAAAGCCAAGTTTATACTCTCATTATTTTATCTTCTTGTGAGGAAGGCACTCCATTGGTCACAATTTGAGTGGCAGATGTGAGGTTAAAGTTTGTGGGAAAATCTGACTCGGAATATTAATAGAAATAATCATTACATTCGATAGCTGTGAACGATCACCACTTTTTGTGAAAAATTGGAAAACTAAATAAAACAAGTGTATTGATATTAAATCCACGAACTAGTGCATATGGATGTTCATAATTAATTATGTAGTAAATGCATTAAGAAGACTGTATATTATAATCAATTTATGAGTCAAATTCACTCACAAAATAGGGGGTACAGGCACTAGTAGTAGTAGGCAACCATCAGTCTCAGGAGACTATGGAGTTGCGCTCTGGTGTCGGCCTGGTATGGAGTGGCCTCTCCAGGGCGCAAAGGTTGATTCGGGGGGGAGCTGTTACCCAGGCAGCAGGTCCCCCCTCTCCACGGTGCTGAAAGTCTCCAATGGAAAGGCATACGCCAATACGATTGGTTCTAGTAATTATTAAATCACTAGTAATTACTAAATCACTAGAACTAATAATCTGATGTTGATTCATCAGAATAAATTATGAATATGAAATTATATTGTTATGTCACGAAATAAATAGTCGTAAATTCACGTCACTACGCCATAGCAATATATGAAATAATTTATGACAAATATAAAGGGTGTTAATGTGGTCTTAATGGAAGATCATTAATGTAACTAATAGTATTGTACTTGATAACAAGAGATAACAGCTTAGCTGTAAAATATCAGAGATAGAAGCGCGCTCCAAAGCCGACGCGTCACTAGGCTTGCTTCGCCATGCGGTCTGGAGTCACGTGGAAGAAGGGCTTATCTTCTCTTGCGTCGCTCCGATAAAGGCTGAAATCATAATCGATTTGTAAAACACTGCCTATCTAGTGATTAATTTGCATCTGTCTAATTATATGGAGGGGTAACGTAACAGCAGCGTAACAACAAGCAAGCAAGCACATAAAGTTGTTAAAAAGAGCTCTCTACACCCACAATTATGTTCAAGCACCAATCTGATGCTTGTCAAAACGATCGTATGATCGTTGTAGGAGTTACTGGGGTACCCAGACGCTCGCTGATGCTTGAACGTCCTCTGAATGGTCCGCCAAATTGTGTGTTCCGTGCTACCTTGACAGGTAAGATGGCCGCCTCTCGATGGAACCTCGTGTGAGAATGTCGGTGTCGGCTCTTCTCTCCTCGATTGATTGATTGATGAAGATTAAGCCACCCAAAAGGTGGCACAGGCATGAATAGCTCGTAAGTGGTGGCACTTTTGAGCCATTACCAGTATTAAGAGCTTGATACTGGAGATCTGTGGAGTTGCGACTGCACGCTGCGCGACGGGAGATGTCTCCCGGGTCCTCTCCTCCCTCTAAACAGAATTCACATTGACGAGAAATGGAGGGAGAATTTTGTTCCTCCATACTGACTCTGGGATATCATAATATCATTATTAATTTGTGATCTTCACTAATAACGCGAATTGAGATGATCACTGGTTTATGGAATATCAGTCAATAATTCTTAATAAGAACACTGATACGTGATGAGAATAGAAGTTAATTCTCTGGAATATAGCAGTTACTCTTTCCTTTGCTAACTCGCTGGACGCAACCACGCCATGAAGTAAGAAATATTTGGGAAAAATATGGCGCAATAGGAAAGGAATTAATTTGATTATTCTACAAGTTAATAATATTATTAATTACTAATGTTAGTACAAGGATGATGTATTAAAATACAAAATGATGAATAAGTGTCGGATATTTTCCAATAAAGTTTAAGGTGTTAGGCGGCCTGTAACCATTTTGTGGGCGAGTTCCACAAAGGTTAAGTATCACAAAATGGGTTTTAAGTAACGACTAGAAAACTTTCAAGTCATACATCAACAAACCATCATTGTCTCAAGAAATACGCTTATTCACACTCTTCACCATTTAAAAACATTTTTCAATCTGTCACAATGGAGAATTTGTGTAATGTTAAGCAAGGTGTGCGGGCGTCTGTCTGACGTAAGAGTTGGTTGTGCTGTTGACAGGTAAAGACAAGGCGGACATCACCTGCTGTTCCAAGGGCCAGCTACGCCAACTCCACGAACTCCATCCAGACTGTATGCCCATCATCATCCCCGAGGACGATGCTTTCTTTAACCAGTAAGTGCTGTGAGGCTGTGGCCTTGCTGCTATGAGGCTGTGGCCTTGCTGCTGTGAGGTTGTGATCTTGCTGCTGTGAGGTTGTGGTCTTGGTGCTGTGAGGCTGTAGTCTTGGTGCTGTGAGGCTGTGGACTTGTAATAATTAGTTGAGCATGCATACATAATGGCCAGTGTACCTTAGACTTGTATCTGATCATCTGTATAAATAAAATATTATTTGTATAATTTGTTATGGTTTACCTTGAGTGTGTATTATCAGCATGTGCGTATATACCTGCAGGTTCGGTCAGCGTTGTATGGAGTTCGTGAGATCGATGCCGGCCGTCCGCCCCAAGTGTAACTTGGGTCCTCGGGAGCAGATGAACCAGATCACCTCTTTCATCGACGCGAGGTGCGCTACCTTCTTCTTTGTCTGGTATACTGTGTGGTTGAAATTGAAATTGAAATAAGTTTATTGAGGTAAACTACACACAAAGGGATGGGGTAATGATACAGTGATAATTGTTTGCCTTATGTAGTCATTTTGACTTAGTGATTGTGTTGATAACCTGTATCACAATGGTCTACGTCGACGGCTCACAACCTAGGCTCCCCGGTTCAATCCTATGGCTGGACAGTGAAAGTTGGGCACGCTTCCTTTCACCTAATACTTCTGTTCACCTATAAGTGAATGGGTCCCCCATGGGATATGGGCACTTGTTTTGGGTTGTCTCCTGGGGAAGGTTGTTAGTTGACCTCTTGGTAGTAGAGGGGGTGACCTCGATAACCTTAAGTGCAGGCTTCCTGTCCCCCCCCCCCCCCGACAACGGGGACTCATGTGTTCAATGCAAACATTGCAAATTAATTTACACTGCAACAAACTGTTTAAAGCCCAATTAAGGTGTTTGTGTGCACCACCGCAAGCCCTCCATAAATAATGTATGTCATTAGCTCTGGTGGAAAACGTCATTGTAATTTATATTATTAGTGTATACTCAGTATTACAGTGAATTATATCATTTATAATAGTAATAATAATAATAATAATAATGTTTATTCAGGTAAAAGTACATACAAACGAAATGAGTTACAAACAGCATGTTGGATTTCTACATAGAGCTAGTCTGTACTGTGTCTAAAGCCACTAATATGCACAGTGTTTTGGGCAATATGATGAGCTGTTACAAATGTTGACTGTTCAGTTAAGGACAGTTATTGTTGTTCGTCTTTGTTCTTTAAAGGATTGTTGTCACTCAGCCACAAGCCAGTCCTACTTTGTCCCCATGGCAGGCTCTTTCTTTGTTGCTAGGGAACATATCTATACTATATTCACCTGAAAATACCCGAGGGCCATCACCTTCAGTAGCATTGACGGGGGACAGGAAGTCAGCGGCTTGTTATAAGCCCCCCCCCCCCAATTGCTCAGGTTTTTTCCTGAAGAATTTTAAATGGAAAGTAATGTCTTATCATTAACGGCTTCGCCGGTAGATGAGTCTGTGAACAAATCCACAAGGGCCGTGACGACGATTCGAACCTGCGTCCAAGAGCATCTGCCTTAAGACGCTGCCTTAATCGACTGAGCTACGACATGGTCAAAAGAGTTGAAACCGAAGTTCTACTGAACTTGATCCTGCAGTCTCTCCGAGGTACAAACCTTACTTGTGTAATGAAGTAAGGGCGAAGAGGGAGAACGGCCTATTGACATAACTCGAGTGCATGGGGGGAGTTGTGTAAAACCCTGGTTTGTGTCTCGGAGAGACTGCAGGATCCAGTAAGTTCAGTAGAACTTCGGTTTCAACTCTTTTGACCATGTCGTAGCTCAGTCGATTAAGGCAGCATCTGGGATGCTCTTGAACGCAGGTTCGAATTCTCATCACGGCCCTTGTGTATTTGTTCATTTGATACATCACGTTATTGTGATTTGTGTGTGCAATGAGTCTGTGAGTCTTATTACACTATGAGTGAAAAACATCAGTTTTTCTGCCCTACATTGGTGGCTGGTTGAGCTGGAAGCTGTTGCCCCTTCCTTGCCTTACATTGCACCTTCTTAAAGAAATGGACACGATTAATATAAATTGTTATCCACACTTTCGTGGAATTAAACATTCCTTATTAAAACTACTCAATAGCTCGGTCAATAGAGCTTCGGCTCCACACACACGTGGGGTCCACTGTTCGAGTCTCCTAGAACCCAGGTGAATGGCATGGATTAATATCTTCCAGTTTGTTCGTCATTTTAAAGGTGACAGAATTTCTCTAAGTATCAAAGGGTAAAGTCATAAGAGAGAAGCATGCGTGTGTAGAGGTGCTGGTGACCTGTGTTGCACCAACGTGTACGTGTCCAGTCTTGTTGCGCCAACGTGTACGTGTATGTTGCAGCAACGTGTACGGGTCCAGTCTTGAGGAACTGAAGGAGCTGAGGAGCTTCAGTGACGGCCTGATGAAGGTGGGGACGCCGGGCCACCCGCTCCTCCCGCCCCACCCCTCCGAGTGCAAGGACACCACCGGCAATATGTTCTGCTTCAGAGCTGGTCAGTTCTCAACTGTATTTACTGTCCTCTTTCTCTCTTGCTATTTCTTCTTTCTAGAAAGCATAGTGACGTCTTGTCCATACCGGGTAACATAATGGACATGGGATCGCTGGATTGTTTCAAGCGTAGGTTAGACGTGTGTGTGAATGAGGTTGGATGGATTTACACAGGAGCTGCCTCACATGGGCCAATAGGCCTTCTCCAGTTTCCTTAATTCTTATGCATTTTTGTTTGAATGACAAATAAGTCTTATAAACACATCAATTATAAAATCCTTCCCTATTTGCACTTTTTTTAAGCAAAGATTATAGCTCATTAAGAATGTTCCTGATATTCATAAATAAACCTTAATGCAGCTTGTCTGGCCCTGAAGCGACGGTCTCGTTTCATGCAGGTCGGCGTTCAATCCCTAACCGTCCAAGTGGTTGAGCACCATTTCTTCCCCCCCCCCAGTCCCTTCCCAAATCTTTATCCTGACCGCTTCCCATTTTTTTTTTTTTTTTTTTTTTTTTTTTTTAAGATTAAGCCACCCAAGAGGTGGCACGGGCATGAATAGCCCGTAAGTGGTACAATTTTTTTTCTCAGTATTCTGAGGTTGCATTTAACCATCAAGCTGTTATCGCGGGGGAGGATACTGCTTCACAGTCTTTATGAGGGTGTCCATCTGCTGGACACCTTTGTTGACCAGGAGAGTGGCTGTGTTGATGGCTTCAGGGTGGCCACTGCATGATTCAGGAACTCTTAAAGTTCTTCTAAGGTCATTGGTTGCTTCACATTCCAGAAGATAGTGAAGTAATGGCTTTTCTGTGACAGTTTGGCAGAAGATGCACTCTCTCTGTCGGGGTTCACCAATCTCCCAGTTGCATCTGTAACCTAGACGTAGTCTATATAACCTAACTGCTATTTCCCTGTGGATTCCTTTTGGGATATTTAACCTTTCTAATTTGGTTGCCTGAAGATACCATGTTGCAGATGGCGAACCTTCAGCTATTCTCTGGTGCTTGGTTGAGATGTGAGAGTTTTTTGGTGATGATGTTTTTTATGTTCTCTAGGCTGGGTTGTTCTCTAGGCTGGGTTGAATTGTTTTATGTATCACTGGATGACCAGTTGCCAATTTAGCAATTTCATCAGCTTTTTCATTTAACGGGATTCCAATATGGGATGGGATCCAGTTTAAAGTTATGTTGAGTCCTTTGCCTTTAGCGACTGCTCCAAGATACAAAATGGTGGTAATTATTTCCACATTATCTTTCCACTGTTTTTGTCCTAGTATTTGAAGTGCAGCTTTTGAGTCTGTGTGTATGATTGCATTTTGAGTGTTTTGTGCAATCACATACGCAAATGCCTGTTGTATGGCAAACAGCTCAGTTTGGGTTGATGATACTGGTCCTCCCAGTCTCCAATATGCCTGTACGCTGGCCGTGCAAAGAGCAGCGCCAGCACTCTCATATTCTGTGTCCACCGATCCGTCTGTGAAGATGTGGGTGGCTCCTGCTACTGCTATGCTATACATTTGCTCTTCTATTATGCGCCTTAGGATTGTCGGATCATAGGCAGCCTTTTTCATTGGGAGACTTTCTAATACTATTTTGAAAGTAGGCTCTTCCCACGGCGCGGAAGGAGTGTAATTTGGGTGTGGATGATCACCCTCTCTATCAAGAATCATGTTTTTTAAATGTAGTCTGTTTAGGACTTTTCCCGCTCTTGCAACCCAAGAGTTTCCATTGTTTTGGCCTAGTCCAACCACCAAGGCCTGCCGTACTGGGATTGGATCAGAAGAAATAATTATCTTACTGATAATTGTAGCTGTCCTTTGTGATATTCTTTCTTGTAGAGAGGGCAAACCCGTCTCCAGTCTAAGAGTTTCAAGTCTAAGAGTTTCAATAAGTGGTGGCCCTTATTGCCTTGCCTTGCCTTGCCTTGCCTTGCCTTGTCACATGGCGGCTCCCAGTACACCGCTTCCCAGATTGATTGATTGATGAAGATTAAGCCACCCAAAAGGTGGCACGGGCATGAATAGCCCGTAAGTGGTGGCCCTTTTGAGCCATTACCAGTATCAAGAGCTGATACTGGAGATCTGTGGAGGCGCGACTGCACCCTGCGTGACGGGAGATGTCTCCCGGACCAAGTGGTGACCAGATGGTGACCGCTTCCCACTATATATCACTGCTATATAGTGCTACAGGAGGGGGGGGGAAGACATCTCTCGTCACGCAGGGTGCAGTCGCACCTCCACAGATCTCCAATATCATCTATTGATACTGGTAATGGCTCAAAAGGTCCACCACTTACGGGCTATTCATGCCCGTGCCACCTTTTGGGTGGCTTAATCTTCATCATCATGCTACAGGGGAAACTTTCGTCATTGACGGAATTCCATGACAGCAAGTACGTTGACATTTCTTCGGTGTTAGAGGCTCAAAGACAGACCAGTTCTAGCAGAACAAGTTAATACCCGAGACGTGTTCTCACATGGCGCTCTGCCTGGTCCGGTAGACGGATGAATAATGGAGCAGGTCCTCCAAGAGGGGAACATACTCAAGATGGAAGCCAACTTGTGCTTCATATAAGGTTTTGGGAGGGTACGAGATGCTTCTTAGTACTGCAAGTTTAACCCGCAAACACAAACCGAAACTATCTATATTTTCCGCTTGTTACAACTTGTAATAAAGTTGTTACATCTTGGCTTACCGTGTTTATGACTTATTAGAACGTTGTTACAACTTGCTATATTGGTTGTTATAACTGGTTAGGAGGTGTTAAAACTTGTTCGAACGTTGCACCAACGTCGTAGTTTCGGTGTGTGTTTGGCGGGGATTGATCTTGTCTGCCTTGCTTAGTTCATCACGTGTCCTCTCATGGGCACTGACGAGCCAAACTTCATCCTAAACATCCTTCAGGCCATGTCATCAACATGGCATGCAGTTTCAGGGGAAAACTACTCATCATGGGCAGACGATGAGTCACAATAACGTGGCTGAAGATATGATTAAACTACCCAACAGATGATGAGCGGACCACGTTTCGGTCCCTCCTGGACCATAATCAAGTTGATTTCCGCCAAACACACACCGAAACTACGACGTTGGTACAACGTTCGAACAAGTTTTAACACCTGTTTTTGTAATAAAGTTTTAACACGTCTAACACCTTTAACACTTATAACAACCAATATAGCAAGTTGTAACAACGTTCTAATACGGCATAAACACGTTACGCCAAGATGTAACAACTTTAATACAAGTTGTAACAAGCGGAAAATAGAGACAGTTTCGGTTTGTGTTTCCAGGGTTGTCATAACTAGCCACAACCGACTTGATAATGGTCCAGGATGGACCGAAACATCATCATCTCATCTTCTGGCGTGTGGTTTAGTCATCACTATTCATCATGACTGTAACAGGTGTAGCTAAACGAATTTTGAGTCCATCCGTAAACTCTTCCACTACCCTCACATAATAGGTATAGGGTGCATAATAAATGAATTACAGTAAGCAAAAAAAATCCAAGAAAGAAAGACACGACCCCGACGTAGTCTGTCTGTGTACTACTTACTAAAATTCTTATGTAAATTTTGAACGTTAAGAGTTTCTTATCTATATCGTACAGGTGACTGTACCCTTGTGTCCCAGAGGTGACTGTACCCTTGTGTCCCACAGGTGACTGTACATGTCAAATCTAGACTGTAACTAGATTTATTCCTCCAAGGAGTGCCGGACCAACCGGGCTGTGGTGGGTATGTGGGCCTGCGGGCCGCTCCAAGCAACAGCCTGGTGGACCAAACTCTCACAAGTCGAGCCTGGCCTTGGGCCGGGCTTGGGGAGTAGAAGAACTCCCAGAACCCCATCAACCAGGTTAACCAGGTAAACACGTGTCCCACAGGTGACTGTACACATGTGTCCCACAGGTGACTGTACACATGTGTCCCACAGGTGACTGTACACATGTGTCCCACAGGTGACTGTACACATGTGTCTCACAGGTGACTGTACCCTTGCATCCCACAGGTGACTGTACCCTTGCATCCCACAGTTGACTGTACCCTTGCATCCCACAGTTGACTGTACCCTTGCATCTCACAGGTGACTGTACCCTTGCATCCCACAGGTGACTGTACCCTTGCATCCCACAGGTGACACCCGGGTGAACGAGCAGCCGGAGCTGGCGGTGATGCACACCATCTGGATGAGGCAGCACAACAAGCTGGCCACGGAGCTCAAAAGCCTCAACCCCGGCTGGACGGACGAGATCTTGTTCCAGGAGGCGCGAAGGATCTTGGCGGCGCAGATCCAACACATCACTTACAACGAGTACCTCCCCATCGTCCTCGGTGAGGGACGCCTCGAACTCCTTTACAGCTGGACAAATCCACAAGGGCCCTGACGAGGATTCGAACCTGCGTCCGAGAGCATCCCAGACGCTGCCTTAATCGACTGAGCTACGACATGGTAAAAGAGTTGAAACCGAAGTTCTACTGAACTTCAGTAAGTTCGGTAGAACTTCGGTTTCAACTCTTTTTACCGTGTCATAGCTCAGTCGATTAAGGCAGTGTCTGAGATGCTCTCGGACGCAGGTTCGAATCCTTGTCACGGCCCTTGTGGATTTGTTCATTTGATGCATCACGCAATTGTGATTTCTGTGTGTCCTTTACAACTTCAATGCTTTTGTAATTTCTTATATATATATATATATATATATATATATATATATATATATATATATATATATATATATATATATATATATATATATATATATATATATATCGGTCATTTAAGGGTTCCGGTAGCACAGGCGGGTTCGTTCTCGATGCACAGTCGATAAATACGGGTTCGAATCCCGGGTGGGACAGTAATGGTTAGGCACATTTTCTGTCACCTAATGATTGTGTTCATCTAGCAGTGAGCAGGTACTCAGGAGTTAGTCACCTTGTTGTGGGGTTGTATTCTTGGGGGGGGGGAGGTCAGTAATTCGGCAATGAAAGGAGGGGGGGGGGTGTTTGTAGTGGTGTGTGGCACTCCACTACAAATCACCTCGATAAAAGCCTAATATGTATGCATACTCTCTGGCTTTCTGTCCCACGACACAATTATTATTATATTTCATTCTTGTTTAATTTGGTCTGGCTGTTTCACATCTTGAGATAAATGAGCCATTGTGAACACTCATACCATTTCCCAGTCCTCATACTACTGTTTATACTCAACACTAACTAATCATAAAGCCACTATATTCACCACACCACACCAACACACCACAACACACCACAACACACCACAACACAACATAACACAACCATAGCACACCACAACACAACACACCACACCACAACACAACCATAGCACACCACACCACAACACAACACAACCAGAGCACACCACAACACACCACACCACACCACAACACAACACAACCATAGCACAACCATCCACATTACCATTCACTCCGTAAATGAGTCACTTCATCGCACACACAAATCATTCAGTTGTGACCAAGTGTTGGTCCCTCAGGTCGACGGTTCATGGAGACGTTTGGTCTGGTGCCGAAGAAGAAGGGCTACGCTGCTGGTTACCGCGAGGACGTCGACCCCACTATCATCAACGCCTTCGCCGCCGCTGCCTTCAGATACGGCCACACTCTCATCTCTGGCAACATGGAGTAAGTCAATGGGAGAGCGTGTGTGTGTGTGTGTGTGTGTGTAATTACCTAAGTATAGTTACAGGATGAGAGCAATGACCTCACCTCGTTCTGTTGTGAAGACCTCCTGGAACCTCTTGTTCTTCACACACACACCTTTGTCATTCTCTTTATACCTGTCCTCACTCATTCTAAGTTTCATCACCTGTTCTTTCACTGTTGTTTTCCTCCTGATGTGACTGTGGAGTAACTTTGATTCGGTCTTGACTTTATTTGGTATATCATGTTCATACCTTTTCTCAGCTGCTCTCTGGTGTTCTGTTATTTCGGAAGTTCTTCCATGCCCCTTTGTTCAGTTCCTTTGCTTCCATACATGCCCTATTAAACCACGCATTCTTCTTTTGCTTCTCGGATTTTTTCTTTTGGGCCGGGATAAACCTGTTTACTGCATCCTGATACTTTTGGGTGACATAGTCCATCATGTCTTGTACGGACTTAACCCTGAGTTTTAGGAGTTTTTTAGTTTTTCCTTAGCTCTTAGGAAACTTCTCATCTCCCCATAATTCCCCTTTCGGTATGCCAGCCTTTTCTTTCCTAGTTCATTTTTGGAGGAGATAAATCCTAGCTCAACCAGGTACTCAAAGATCAATACATTGTGATCACTCATTTCCAAGGGTGCTTCCAACTTAACTTCCCTTATATCCCACTCATTTAGGGTATGTGTGTACTCACCGAATTGTGCTTGCGGGGGCTGAGCTCTGGCTCTTTGGTCCCGCCTCTCAACCATCAATCAACAGGATTGACAGGTGTGTGTGTGTGTGTGTGTGTACTCACCTAATTGTGCTTGCGGGGGTTGAGCTCTGGCTCTTTGGTCCCGCCTCTCAACCGTCAATCAACTGGTGTACAGATTCCTGAGCCTATTGGGCTCTATCATATCTACATTTGAAACTGTGAATGGAGTCAGCCTCCACCACATCACTTCCTAATGCATTCCATTTGCTAACTACTCTGACACTGAAAAAGTTCTTTCTAACGTCTCTGTGGCTCATTTGGGTACTCAGCTTCCACCTGTGTCCCCTTGTTCGCGTCCCACCAGTGTTGAAAAGTTCATCCTTGTTTACCCGGTCGATTCCCCTGAGGATTTTGTAGGTTGTGATCATGTCCCCCCTTACTCTTCTGTCTTCCAGTGTCGTGAGGTGCATTTCCCGCAGCCTTTCCTCATAACTCATGCCTCTTAGTTCTGGGACTAGTCTAGTAGCATACCTTTGGACTTTTTCCAGCTTCGTCTTGTGCTTGACAAGGTACGGGCTCCATGCTGGGGCCGCATACTCCAGGATTGGTCTTACATATGTGGTGTACAAGATTCTGAATGATTCCTTACACAGGTTCCTGAACGCCGTTCTGATGTTAGCCAGCCTCGCATATGCCGCAGACGTTATTCTCTTTATGTGGGCTTCAGGAGACAGGTTTGGTGTGATATCAACTCCTAGATCTTTCTCTCTGTCTGTTTCATTAAGTACTTCATCTCCTATTCTGTATCCTGTGCCTGGCCTCCTGTTTCCACTGCCTAGTTTCATTACTTTGCATTTACTCGGGTTGAACTTCAACAGCCATTTGTTGGACCATTCACTCAGTCTATCCAGGTCATCTTGTAGCCTCCTACTATCATCCTCTGTTTCAATCCTCCTCATAATTTTTGCATCGTCGGCAAACATTGAGAGGAACGAATCTATACCCTCTGGGAGATCATTTACATATACCAGAAACAGTATAGGTCCAAGGACTGACCCCTGCGGGACTCCACTTGTGACGTCTCGCCAATCTGAGACCTCACCCCTCACACAGACTCGTTGTCTCCTGTTGCTTAGGTATTCCTCTATCCACCGGAGTACCTTCCCTCTCACTCCAGCCTGCATCTCCAACTTTCGCACTAGCCTCTTGTGTGGCACTGTATCAAAGGCTTTCTGACAATCCAAAAATATGCAGTCTGCCCACCCTTCTCTTTCTTGCCTTATTTTTGTTGCCTGGTCGTAGAATTCAAGTAACCCTGTGAGGCAGGACCTGCCATCCCTGAACCCATGTTGATGCTGTGTTACAAAGTTCCTTCGCTCCAGATGCTCCACTAGTTTTTTTCGCACAATCTTCTCCATCAGCTTGCATGGTATGCAGGTTAGGGACACTGGCCTGTAGTTCAGTGCCTCCTGTCTATCCCCTTTCTTGTATATCGGGACTACGTTAGCTGCTTTCCAAATATCTGGCAGTTCCCCTGTTGCCAGTGATTTGTTATACACTATGGAGAGTGGTAGGCTCAGTTCTCTTGCTCCTTCCTTTAGAACCCAAGGGGAGATTCCATCTGGGCCTATAGCCTTCGTCACGTCCAACTCTAGTAAACACTTCCTTACTTCCCCACTGGTAATCTCAAACTCTTCCAGTGGTTCCTGTTAGCTATTCCCTCACTTACCTCTGGAATTTCTCCTTGTTCTAAGGTGAAGACCTCCTGGAATTTCTTATTCAATTCCTCACACACTTCCTTGTGTGTGTGTGTGTGTGTGTGTGTGTGTGTGATTTGTGTGGGTGTGTGCGCGCGCGCACATGTGCCAACTCTTTTTTTTCAGTAACGGTAAGCAACTTCCACTTTCTTGGTAGTGTGAATATAACAAATTTGTGTGTTTGTCCGTCTTGTACGAAATCCCTTAGTTTCTGAACGTTCTTGGCATAGTCGACCTTTTGGGTTAGTTTTCATTAACAGCATTCAGTAGTATAAAAATTAATATTCAAAAGACATTTTAGATAAATAATAATGAAAATTCAAGGGAGTCGTGTGAAGATTCGAACGTACGTGCCTGGTATTCTCAGATGCACACGCTAGACGACTTCACCACGACATGGTTAAATGAATTACAACCTGGGGTACTACTGTGCCCTCGAGGATTCCCGAGGATTCTACTGAAGCCGAACCAGGGTTCGACATGATCAAAACTTTTGACCATATAATGCTGTAGTCGTCTAGAGCGTGCATCTGGGAACACCCAGTTCCCATAGCTTCGAATCCTCATCACGGTTCCTGGGGATTATCTCAATGTTATATCACAATGTGATTTCTTTGTGTATAAATAATAATACAGGACTTTAGTCTGACCAAAAGCACAGACCACCGGGTAAAATTCTCGTGTATAGGCTACTCACCTTGACGCTCTCTCTTTTTTCAGAGCCTACAACAAATTTGGCATTGTGGAGAAGAACCTCCGACTCAGCGAGAATCAGTTCTCACCCTTCATTCTGTACCAGCAAGGAGGCTTGGATTCTCTCCTGCGTGGCCTCACCATCCAGGCCAGCCAGAAATTCGACCGCTTCTTCAGCAAGGAGGTAGGATGGCGCGAAATCAGTATATTTGAAAGCTCGCAGCCCGGGAGGGAATATTGAATTCAGCTCGATCCATTATTATATGATGCCTTTGTATTCTGAATACTATCTGGGATTTGGGATATTGTGACAGATAATGTGGTACAAAGCTTTACAGGTTTGGTCTCTTCGCCTGGTATGTACTCACTCTTCAGCTTTATTTTGACCTTGTTAGGCATCAACTAGAGACTATACGGTTCAGTTTTGGTCATCACCATACTATAAAATAAACACAAGTTCACTTGAATGTGTGCAGAAAAGGAAGACAGGGTTAATAACAGGAACAAGAAACTTCTTTTATGTAGAAATTATGAAACCTACTTTACATACATTCTCTAGGGAGCACAAGAGTAAGGGGGTGACAGAGCTGATGTATATAAACACCAAATAGAACATTAAAATGTGGATACAAATTGGATAAGTTTAAATTCGGTAAAGACCTGGGTAAGCACTGTTTTGAAAATACAGCTGTGGATTTATTGAACTATTATAGAGTAGCATAATAGAACTGGATCATATAACATATATAAATCATTCGTTAGGAACGTGACATACTAAGTCTGTTGGGGGGGGGGACCTTCGACAAGCCGCCGGCTTCCTGTCCTCGTCGAGGCCACTATAGAGCCTCTCGGGTAAATGTACAAATGAGTTCGGCTGGGAAATGAATACGAGCGATCTGCAGTGGCTTCAACGCTTGACCAATGTTCCCTCACTTCCTCACTAAGCCGCTTCCTCTCCACAGCTGACCAATCACCTGTTCGCGGGTAAGAACAAGTTCGGGATGGACCTGGTGGCCCTGAACCTGCAGCGGGCCCGCGACCACGGCATCCCTGGCTACAACAAGTGGAGGAAGATCTGCGCCCTCCCGAGGGCCAACACCTTTGATGACCTCGCTGATGTTATTGATCCAGAGGTAACCATTGCTATTGCTTTTTTAAATAAATAAATAAATAAATAAATAAATAAATGTTTATTCAGGTAAAGTACATACATACAAGAGGTTTTACAAAAATTGATAGATATATAGATAGAGCTAGTACATACAATGCCTAAAGCCACTATTACGCAAAGCGTTTCGGGCAGAGGTCTTAGAGGAGCGTTTTATTGTTCTATTATTATTATTATTATTATTATTATTATTAATTGTAATAATTCTAATCAAATATTGATTCATATTTTATTAGTATTATTAGTATGGTTATTGATAGTTATTATTTGTACGTACAGTAATTGTACATTTTTTTAAAATTAGAATGGCATCATAAAGTAAAGATATATGTACCCGAGAAGCCACTAATTCTGTAGATAATAATCTTTATTGTTAATTTGTTTTAATTGTATTTAAGTTATGATTATCTCAATATAATTTTCACCAATATTTCTCACACTGTACACACTATGGCTCTTGTCAACACCACTACTTATTTATTTATTTATTTATTTCCATCCGGCGGCTCTTATATATATATTATATATATATATATATATATATATTATCCAGTGTTTTTGTTTTGTATAGTTATCCATATTTGGCCCTTTCCTTCACCTTTTTCGGCCCCTTTTATCCGTAGGTTTCACCCCTTATCTTGGTGGTCAGGTACTTGCCCTGGCGGGTATAAGGACTGTCTACCACGTTTCCTTCCTTTGACGGGCTCACCATAGCCCGTGCTACATGGACATTTCGTTCTGAGTCGCTAAATCTAAAACAACAACGACGTTTCCTTCTTTTTACGGGCTATGCATGCCCGTGCAACCTCCTGATTGGCTTAATCAATCAATTAATCAATCATTTTCCTTCTTCGGTTATATAGGTTTCCTTCTTCGCTTTCGGTTATATAGACTACGTCTAGGTTACAGATGCAACTGGGAGATTGGTGAACCCCGACAGAGAGAATTGCCGCTACCCTCTGTGCCCTGAGGAAAAAGGATAGAGGAATCAGACCGATTGCTGTGGGTAATTCACTCCGGCGCCTCGTCGCTAAGGCTGTTGCTAGAACAGTTAGCCAGGCAGCAGCAGACATGCTGAAGTCAAAACAGCTTGGGTTTGGCATTCCCTAAGGGTGTGAGGCAGCGGCTCATGCAGCTAGAGCCTACATTGCCAACATTACAGATGAAAAAGCCCTGATAAAACTGGATTTCAAAAATGCTTTCAATCTGGTAGGAAGGGATGCAGTACACAGTGCGGTTCATCACCTTTTTCCTTCCCTCAACTCGTTTGTAAACTCATGTTACAGCAAGAATCTAACTCTGCTATTCGGGAAACATGAAGCTGATTCACAAGAAGGTGTCCAACAGGGTGACCCCCCTTGCTTTTTTTCTTTTCTGCTTAGTCATCAAGGAAGTCACTGACAACCTGTCCAGTAAGCTCAACATTTGGTTTTTGGACGATGGTACTCTAGCTGGCTCCCCAGACTCCCTCCCGGATGACATAAAAATAATTCAGGAGCAAGGGGCAAGTCTAGGCCTCACCCTGAACTCTTCCAAGTATGAAATAACTTTCATCAACCAGCACACAATAGAGCAAATAAAGGTTGTTTTTCCTGATATTCATATAACCAACCCTGAGGACAGCACACTTCTAGGAGCTCCCCTTGGAGGGAATGCCATCGACGAGGTCCTTGGTAAGATCTCTGACCTGAAGAGGATGAATGAGAAGATTGAAGACATGGATGCTCATGATGCACTTTACCTCATCACCAGATGCTTGTCCCTCCCCAGGCTGACCTACTTTCTTAGATGTTCGCCATCTTTTAAAAATATTAAATTAGAAGAATACGACAGCCTGCTGAAATCAATGCTAGAAAAAGCCATCAACCTTTCTCTCAGCCACCCACAGTGGAAACAAGCTTCCCTTCCTGTCAGACTCGGGGGCCTCGGCGTTCGCACAGCAACACAAATTGCAGTATCAGTGTTCCTGTCCTCTTCAGTGGCATCTGACAACCTCGTTAAAGAAATTCTACCTGAGTACCTAGGTCAACAGGCAGGGATACATGATCCCAGCTTTACAGACTGCACCACCAAATAGGTATCCCTTGCAGGACCAGCATCCCAACCACCACTTTCTGAAGCCCATAAGCAATCCAGCTGGGATCGCCCCATTGTCGACCAAGAAGCTGCGACAACACATGACACTGCCTGACTTAGAGCTGTAGCAACTCCCCATGCAGGTGACTTCCTATTAGCAACCCCAATGTCAGCAACTGGCACCCGTCTCACACCGCAGGCCCTCCGAATTGCTGTGGCTCTCCGCCTCGTTGCCCCAATCCACACCGAATACAGGTGTATTTGCGGCAAGGCAGTGGCCGACAGGTACGGACGGCATGGCCTTCTCTGCCAAAGAACAGGAGGATGGCATGCAAGACACAGTGAGGTTAATGACATTAAAAGAAGCCTTACCACAGCCGGTTATCCAGCAGAGAGACAGAGAGAGAGAGAGACAGAGAGAGAGAGAGAGAGAGAGAGAGAGAGAGAGAGAGAGAGAGAGAGAGAGAGACCGAGAGAGACCGAGAGACCGAGACCGAGAGACCGAGAGAGAGAGAGAGAGACCGAGACCGAGACCGAGACCGAGACCCGTTACCCGTTACTTAATGCCCCGCAACTCTGATGAGCCTGTCGGTCGCCCAGATGGGATCACGGTGAACTCCTGGAAGAATGGTAGACAGTTGGTGTGGGACTACACTTGTGTTTCAACTTTAGCCAACACCTGTGTTGACTTCAATGCTGCACAGGCAGGAGGTGCTGCCAATCACCGGGAAGCAGCCAAGTCACGTAAATACAGAGACCTTGATCACCACTACAATTTTGTCCCCATTGCCTCAAGACACTTGGTGCCTGGGGTAAAAGTGCTGCTAGTTTTTTGAAGGAGCTGGAGTCCAAGCTAATTGAAACCACTAGAGACCCTAGAGCCGCCAGTTTTCTCTTTCAGCGCCTTAGTGTAGCGATCCAGAGAGGAAATATTATAAAGGAAATGAGAGGAAACTGCATCCATGGTTCTTGCCCGCCATCTGAGGAGCTAGAGGAGCTCTACAACTTGTGACAAGTAACCTTGTACCCTGCATGTAACCTATGTTGTAACCCTTTTTGAGTAATCAAATTTAAAAATGGTTAGATATATACACACATACAAAAAGAATAGGGGTGGTAGGAGAAGAAAATATCAAAGTGTTCACTGAGGATCCACAAGGTCTTCTCTGAGTACTCTTTATTTTCTTCTCCGAGGCTATGGGTCCCTACACTTGCACCAGAGATGGTACCCCTTTTAGGTTTATATATATATATATATATATATATATATATATATATATATATATATATATATATATATATATATATATATATATATATATCTTCTCCTACCACCCCCATTCTTTTGTATGTACACATATATATTTGCTTTATTTGAACTTTGTTACAAAAAAGGAGTTACATATAGGTTACAAAGATGGTTATCATAGGTTGTCGAGTTCCTCCAGCTCCTCAGATGGCAGGCAGGAACCCTGGATACTGTGCGCATTTCCCCTCTGTATCGCCACGCTGAGGCGCTGGAAAAGAAAAGCTGGCAGCTCTAGGGTCCCTTGTTGTTTCAATGAGCCTAGAACCCAGTTCCTTCAAAAAACTGGTAGCACTTTTACCCCAGGCGCCGAGTGTCTCAGAAGCAATGGGGACAAAATTGTAGTGGTGATCCAGTTCTCTATACTTACGGGATTTGGCTGCTTCCCTGTGGGTGGCAGCGCCACCTAGTTGTGCAACACTGAGGTCAATGTAGGTGTTAGCCAGGGTTGATACGCACGTGTAGTCCCATACCAACTGCTTGCCATTCTTCCAGGGGTTCACTGTGATACCCTCCGATTGAAGACATGGATGCTCATGATGCACTTTACCTCATCACCAGATGCTTGTCCCTCCCCAGGCTGACCTACTTTCTTAGATGTTCGCCATCTTTTAAAAATATTAAATTAGAAGAATACGACAGCCTGCTGAAATTAATGCTAGAAAAAGCCATCAACCTTTCTCTCAGCCACCCACAGTGGAAACAAGCTTCCCTTCCTGTCAGACTCGGGGGTCTCGGCGTTCGCACAGCAACACAAATTGCAGTATCAGTGTTCCTGTCCTCTTCAGTGGCATCTGACAACCTCGTGAAAGAAATTCTACCTGACCTAGGTACCTAGGTCAACAGGCAGGGATACACGAGTCCAACTTCAGACTGCACCACCAAATGGGTATTTCTTGCAGGACCAGCACTCCAACCACCAATTTCTTATGCCCATAAGCAATCCAGCTGGGATCGCCCATTGTCGACCAAGAAGCTGCGACAACACTACATGACACTGCCTGACTTAGAGCTGTAGCAACTCCCCATGCAGGTGACTTCCTATTGGCAACCCCAATGTCAGCAACTGGCACTCGTCTCACACCGCAGGCCCTCCGAATTGCTGTGGCTCTCCGCCTTGCTGTGCCAATCCACACCGAATACAGGTGTATTTGCGGCGAGGCAGTGACCGACAGGTACGGACGGCATGGCCTTCTCTGCCAAAGGACAGGAGGATGGCATGCAAGACACGGTGAGGTTAATGACATTAAAAGAAGCTTTACCATAGCCGGTTATCCAGGAGAGAGAGAGAGAGAGAGAGAGAGAGAGAGAGAGAGAGAGAGAGAGAGAGAGAGAGAGAGAGAGAGAGAGAGAGAGAGAGAGAGAGAGACCGAGAGAGACCGAGAGACCGAGACCGAGAGACCGAGAGAGAGAGAGAGAGACCGAGACCGAGACCGAGACCGAGACCCGTTACCCGTTACTTAATGCCCCGCAACTCTGATGAGCCTGTCGGTCGCCCAGTTGGGATCACGGTGAACCCCTGGAAGAATGGTAGACAGTTGGTGTGGGACTACACTTGTGTTTCAACTTTAGCCAACACCTGTGTTGACTTCAATGCTGCACAGGTAGGAGGTGCTGCCAATCACCGGGAAGCAGCCAAGTCACGTAAATACAGAGACCTTGATCACCACTACAATTTTGTCCCCATTGCCTCAAGACACTTGGTGCCTGGGGTAAAAGTGCTGCTAGTTTTTTGAAGGAGTTGGGGTCCAAGCTAATTGAAACAACTAGAGACCCTAGAGCCGCCAGTTTTCTCTTTCAGCGCCTTAGTGTAGCGATCCAGAGAGGAAATATTATAAAGGAAATGAGAGGAAACTGCATCCATGGTTCTTGCCCGCCATCTGAGGAGCTAGAGGAGCTCTACAACTTGTGACAAGTAACCTTGTACCCTGCATGTAACCTATGTTGTAACCCTTTTTGTGTAATCAAATTTAAAAATAGATATATATACACACATACAAAAAGAATAGGGGTGGAAGGAGAAGAAAATATCAAAGTGTTCACTGAGGATCCACAAGGTCTTCTCTGAGTACACTTTATTTCCTTTTCCGAGGCTATGGGTCCCTACACTTGCACCAGAGATGGTACCCCTTTTAGGTTTATATATATATATATATATATATATATATATATATATATATATAATGTCGTACCTATGTCGTAAATATACATTATATAATTTTTAACTTATCATGCCTTCTCTGGTAAGGAAAGTATTAACCCATGCATCAAAATGTTAAACTTCTGTTATAACATTTTAGAACCTCCATGTTTTCAGGTAATCAACCAACTGCGAGAGCTGTACGAGGATGTGGATGATATTGACATTTTCATCGGCGGTATTGCAGAGAGGCCCTCGCCAGGCTCCCTCCTAGGCCACACCTTCCTCTGTATAATAGGAGATCAGTTCGCAAGACTCAGGGTATGTATGCGTAGTATTCTACAGTATTTTGGTGCAGTAGATAATGTGCACGTCACTTGTTTAAACGGCCATGGGTCTGGTCAGTAGCTGTGGGGGCAGACACAACCTCGCCTGGGGCTTGGGAAGCCTCGGTAGTAATAATAATGATAATGTTTATTCAGGTAAAAGTACATGCATATAAAATGAGTTACAAACAGAATGTTGAATTTCTAGATAAAGCTAGTATATACTCCGCCTAAAGCCACTAACACGTATAGCGTTTCGGGCAAGAAGTGGGAAAAACACTTAAAAACTAGGACAACACACATCCTGTCCCTCGACAATGGAAAAACCAAAACATGTCATTTTTTGTTTCTAGCTCATTTGTAAGTGCGAGCAACAATTATATTTTCTTCATTTGGAGCAAAAAATGTACATAACAGCTTTCGTCCACAAATACTGGCCAATACATGCTTGCACGGCCGTCCTATAGTACAATAGGATGGTGAAGATATGTGGTAGATATGGTTTGAAGCTTGAAAAAGTCCATAGAGCTGGCAGGCAGGGAATGGAAGAACGGGGCGAGAATGCAGAAATCTTGAGCGAGGAACTGGAGACGAGGCGAAGAGGGAAGATGAAAGATCGGTGGCCCAACCACCGCGGCTTTGAACTTGAGAAGAGTGCGGCAGGACTGAGTAGGGCGTCATTTGTAGTACACATATGGGATGGGCTCGCAAGCAGCTGGCAGTTGATGGTAGTTAAATGTTGATGTTTGTTGTTGATGTTCCAGCATTTTGTTGGTGGTCTACTTTTTCCTTGATGGTTTCAGTAAACTCGGGCCGTTGGTCTTCTTCCTGGGCTTGTCGGTCTTGGTGATCTTACTTCGTGTTGTCATTTGGAGTTGAAGGTTGATGGTGTAATGTCGTGAAGAAAATCGGCAGCTGAGTAGTGGCATTTCCGTGAAGGAGGAGATGGTGTTCCAACAGACACGTCCTCATCCGATTCATTAGATGAGTATGAAGCAGAAATGGTAGATCGTGGAGGTTTAGTTCTTGATGGTTGAGTAGCAGCAGTGGGTACTGCAGCAGATGAAGAAGGTTCCATGGCTGAAGTCTGCATGGAAGTGGCAGAATCGTCGTCGGGTGAAGAGTCAGCAACCTCTAGAGGATCAGACCAAGGATCAATTGCAGCTGAAGTCTCTACTGGGTCGTGTGAAGGACCAGCAACAGCTGGAGAAACGGGTGGAGCAGGAGCTGACAGTAGATCTGAAAGCTCAGCCTCATTTACAGTAATGTCAAGGTCAGTAACTGGAGCTGGAGCAGAAGTTGGGGTCTTAGGAGCTAGAGTCTTGTGAGCTGAAGGTACTAGAACAAGAGTTGAAGTCTTCATTGAAGTGGCAGAATCATCGTCGAGTGAAGAGTCGGCATCCTCTACAGGGTCAGTTGCTGGAGTTGAAACTGAAGCATTGTAGACTTCACCAGGAACGTTGAAGGTAGGGAGACCATTCGCTTTGTAAAGAATATTCAGAATTCTCACATTCTAGGGGGTTAGTACCAGCAATCATTCTGGCCCTCAGTGGTAGCCTGGGTAGCCATATTCAGAGTGGAGAAGGTGACCTTCAAGGTGCGGCTGTTGCAGAACACAGTTTCATACACATACAAGCCTGGGTTTTCGTTCTCGATGTTGTCTGCAATTTATTCACTGTTAGGTGCCTCACTTTCCCGTTTTACGATCCAATGTCTGACCTCACTGACAATGACCGATCATGCACGAAGGAGATGTCGTGGGAAGTGGAGCTGGAGATGATACTCTGTACGAAGCCGACATCCTCGATTTATCAGTTTTCTGACGTCTTGCTCGTTAGAGAGGTGAAAAACAAAGTTGGTGCCTGCTTGTTCGATATCGTCAAGTACTACTTCATTTACGTCCTTAAGTAACTTCAGGAGGATTGGCTGGGTGAACGCATGTTCGTGGAGGGGCGTACCTCGGACCTTGTAGTGTTTGTGATGCATGCTGTTCTTCCTGGTGGACGAAGGATCTCTCTCTAAGACTTGCACGTCACTGGTGATGGCCTACCGTCTCTACACGGTATCAAAGTTGGGAGTGGGGTCTGACCATTTAGAGTGAAGCTGATTGATTGATAAAGATTAAGCCACCCAAAAGGTGGCACGGGCATGAATAGCCCGTAAACAGTAAAGCGAGTCTTGCTTCCTTATATTTACCCACCCGGCAGAGCTAGGTGCCACGGGAGACATCTCCCGTCACGCAGGGTGCAGTCGCACCCCCACAGATGTCCAGTATCAGCTCTTGATACTGGTAATAGCTCAAAAGGGCCACCACTTACGGGCTATTCATGCCCGTGCCACCTTTTGGGTGGCTTAATCTTCATCAATCAATCAATCAGCTAGGTGCGAGAGAGAAAGCTGGAGCAACCAGAGTCACGTCCGGCCGTGACGGCTCGATATGGTTTAGTGTTCTAGTTATCACATAGGTGAAGATGACAAGGGCTGCTAACATTAGCAAACAAAATTAACAGTTGGTAAATATTAAAATTATGAATTTTGAAAACGATACAAGAATCCACTGAAGGATGAAATATTTGTGATTGCTATAGTCTATTGTGCACTTTTCCTGTCACCTAATGCTTCTGTTCACCTAGCAGTACATGGGTACCTGGAAGTTGGCCACTGTACTTGGGTTGCATCCTGGGTCAGTAGTTTGACTGAAGTGACCTCGATAGAAGCCTTAAATGTGTGTTTTTTTTAACAACTTTTCACACATTTTGTAGATTTTTGTAATGAATATTGCTAATGTTATTGAATATTGCTAATCCCATATTGCAATGCCCTACGATATGTGATAACCAGGGCAAGATGGGATAAAGTTGCCCTGCTACAGTATTAGAAGAATGCAAAACTTTTACAAACTATCCATGGCTTAGCTGTGGGCTGCCCATGGCTTAGCTGTGGGCTGCCCGTGGCTTAGCTGTGGGCTGCCCGTGGCTTAGCTGTGGGCTGCCCGTGGCTTAGCTCTGGGCTGCCCGTGGCTTAGCTGTGGGCTGCCCGTGGCTTAGCTGTGGGCTGCCCGTGGCTTAGCTGTGGGCTGCCCGTGGCTTAGCTGTGGGCTGCCGGTGGCTTAGCTGTGGGCTGCCGGTGGCTTAGCTGTGGGCTGCCGGTGGCTTAGCTGTGGGCTGCCGGTGGCTTAGCTGTGGGCTGCCGGTGGCTTAGCTGTGGGCTGCCCGTGGCTTAGCTGTGGGCTGCCCGTGGCTTAGCTGTGGGCTGCCCGTGACTTACCAGCGGACTGTCCGTGGCTTAGCTGTGGGCTGTCCATGGCTTACCAGCGGACTGTCCGTGGCTTAGTTGTGGACTGCCCGTGGCTTAGCTGTGGGCTGCCCGTGGCTTAGCTGTGGGCTGCCCGTGACTTACCAGCGGACTGTCCGTGGCTTAGCTGCGAACTGCCCGTGGCTTAGCTGCAGACTGCCCGTGGCTTAGCTGCGGACTGCCCGTGGCTTAGCTGCGGACTGCCCGTGGCTTAGCTGCGGACTGCCCGTGGCTTAGCTGCGGACTGCCCGTGGCTTAGCTGCGGACTGCCCGTGGCTTAGCTGCGGACTGCCCGTGGCTTAGCTGCGAACTGCCCGTGGCTTAGCTGCGAACTGCCCGTGGCTTAGCTGCGGACTGCCCGTGGCTTAGCTGCGGACTGCCCGTGGCTTAGCTGCGGACTGCCCGTGGCTTAGCTGCAGACTGCACGTGGCTTAGCTGCGGACTGCCCGTGGCTTCGCTGCGGACTGCCCGTGGCTTGGCTGCGGACTGCCCGTGGCTTAGCTGCGGACTGCCCGTGGCTTGGCTGCGGACTGCCCGTGGCTTAGCTGCGGACTGCCCGTGGCTTGGCTGCGGACTGCCCGTGGCTTAGCTGCGGACTGCCCGTGGCTTAGCTGCGGACTGCCCGTGGCTTAGCTGCGGACTGCCCGTGGCTTGGCTGCGGACTGCCCGTGGCTTGGCTGCGGACTGCCCGTGGCTTGGCTGCGGACTGCCCGTGGCTTAGCTGCTGACTGCCCGTGGCTTAGGTGCGGACTGCCCGTGGCTTAGGTGCGGACTGCCCGTGGCTTAGGTGCGGACTGCCCGTGGCTTAGCTGCGGACTGCCCGTGGCTTAGGTGCGGACTGCCCGTGGCTTAGCTGCGGACTGCCCGTGGCTTAGCTGCGGACTGCCCGTGGCTTAGCTGCTGACTGCCCGTGGCTTAGGTGCGGACTGCCCGTGGCTTAGGTGCGGACTGCCCGTGGCTTAGGTGCGGACTGCCCGTGGCTTAGGTGCGGACTGCCCGTGGCTTAGGTGCGGACTGCCCGTGGCTTGGCTGCGGACTGCCCGTGGCTTAGCTGCGGACTGCCCGTGGCTTAGCTGCGGACTGCCCGTGGCTTAGCTGCGGACTGCCCGTGGCTTGGCTGCTGACTGCCCGTGGCTTAGCTGCGGACTGCCCGTGGCTTGGCTGCGGACTGCCCGTGCTTAGCTGCGGACTGCCCGTGGCTTGGCTGCGGACTGCCCGTGGCTTAGCTGCGGACTGCCCGTGGCTTAGCTGCGGACTGCCCGTGGCTTAGCTGCGGACTGCCCGTGGCTTAGCTGCGGACTGCCCGTGGCTTAGCTGCGGACTGCCCGTGGCTTGGCTGCGGACTGCCCGTGGCTTGGCTGCGGACTGCCCGTGGCTTGGCTGCGGACTGCCCGTGGCTTAGCTGCTGACTGCCCGTGGCTTAGGTGCGGACTGCCCGTGGCTTAGCTGCGGACTGCCCGTGGCTTAGGTGCGGACTGCCCGTGGCTTAGCTGCGGACTGCCCGTGGCTTAGCTGCGGACTGCCCGTGGCTTAGCTGCGGACTGCCCGTGGCTTAGGTGCGGACTGCCCGTGGCTTAGCTGCGGACTGCCCGTGGCTTAGCTGCGGACTGCCCGTGGCTTAGCTGTGGGCTGTCCGTGGCTTAGCTGTGGACTGCCCGTGGCTTAGCTGTGGGCTGTCCGTGGCTTAGCTGCGGACTGCCCGTGGCTTAGCTGTGGGCTGTCCGTGGCTTAGCTGTGGACTGCCCGTGGCTAAGGACCTCACAAGAACTTGTTCAAATCGTTACAGTTCTGGTTTGAGTGAACAGGAGTACCAAAGTGCACATCCGTCTTGACATTTATTACTCTTCATTTTTCTATCAAACTTTTATATCAGTATCTTTAACATAATTTAGTTTTTCAAAGCATTTTGCTATACTGTATTGTACAGTACTGCCACACCAGTGGTGAGTACTAAGCCTATAGCGCAGTGGTCAGCGCAGTAGTTTCTCAACCGAAAGGTTACTGCTCTGATTCTCTTGTAGGATGGAATTACGTTTGGGCGCATTTCGTTGCACCTTACGCCTCTGTTAACCCTAATGGTAAAAAGGTACCTCCCAGTTACGTATTTACCCTTTGGTAAATCCTAAATACGAAAGGGTTTACCTAACACCCTTAGGTAAATACGTTTCTGGGAAGTGGTAGATAGTTGAAGATTGTCAGTCGTTTGGTAAACCTCGACTAGCCTAACAGGCTTACTGTCCCGAACAATGGGGAACAATTATATAGGCTATTTATTCTCTTCATTTAGCGTCATTGTCAACTACATGGATCACAATTCTATACTATTTAACAGGTGGGCGATAGATTCTACTACGAAAATGGTGGATTGGAGTCGTCGTTCACAGAGGCTCAGTTGGACCAGATCCGGCAGACCAGTTTAGCCAGAGTGATGTGCGACAACTCCGACAACCTGGAGATGATGCAGCCACTCGCCTTCGTCCAAGCCGAGCTTGTGTGAGTATTCCAAATTGTATTCGTTGTCTTTGGCTTAGTTAAAGTTAATAATAATTTATTAATATTAATAAAGTTTAAAGTTTATTAAAGTTAATAAAGTTAATAATACAAACCTATTTGTTATCAGGCGTCGTCAGGAGTTTGTATAACTTGATTCCTAATTTCAAAGTGTCTGAATGTCAAGGTTACTTGGTTGTCAATATACTTGTCATTACAGGTTTTCATAATTAGTACATACTTGTAAAACTTCTAATATGATGTACCTGTGCTTTAATTACATAACTATTCATGGTTGAATTAGTAACCTTGAATATTAGTGATTTTAGCTGTAAATGTCATTTTAAATATCTTATTTAGCCTTTGTTGAAAACATAAAATTGAGAAATACAACTCCAGTGTTCTTATATATAAACACTAGTTGATGTGTATTACATAAATATTTATAGTAATATTTAAAATTAGGCTCCCTGTTATAGTTACTATGCAAGGGTGCCTCACGCTGCCCATCCCTTGTCACCGGCAGGATGGGCTGCCGCAGACAGCCAAGTCAGGGCAGGGGCGGGCTGCCCCAGACAGCCTAGTCAGGGCAGGGGCGGGCTGCCGCAGACAGCCTAGTCAGGGCAGGGGCGGGCTGCCCCAGACAGCCTAGTCAGGGCAGGGGCGGGCTGCCCCAGACAGCCTAGTCAGGGCAGGGGCGGGCTGCCGCAGACAGCCTAGTCAGGGCAGGGGCGGGCTGCCCCAGACAGCCAAGTCAGGGGCGGGCTGCCCCAGACAGCCAAGTCAGGGCAGGGGCGGGCTGCCCCAGACAGCCTAGTCAGGGCAGGGGCGGGCTGCCCCCAGACAGCCTAGTCAGGGCAGGGGCGGGCTGCCTCCAGACAGCCTAGTCAGGGCAGGGGCGGGATGCCCCAGACAGCCAGATCAGGGCAGGGACGGGCTGCCCCAGACAGCCTAGTCAGGGCAGGGGCGGGCTGCCCCAGACAGCCAAGTCAGGACAGGGGCGGGCTGCCCCAGACAGCCTAGTCAGGGCAGGGGCGGGCTGCCCCAGACAGCCTAGTCAGGGCAGGGACGGGCTGCCCCAGACAGCCAAGTCAGGGCAGGGGCGGGCTGCCCCAGACAGCCAAGTCAGGGCAGGCTGCCCCAGACAGCCTAGTCAGGGCAGGGACGGGCTGCCCCAGACAGCCAAGTCAGGGCAGGGGCGGGCTGCCCCAGACAGCCAAGTCAGGGCAGGGGCGGGCTGCCCCAGACAGCCAAGTCAGGACAGGGGCGGGCTGCCCCAGACAGCCTAGTCAGGGCAGGGGCGGGCTGCCCCAGACAGCCTAGTCAGGGCAGGGACGGGCTGCCCCAGACAGCCAAGTCAGGGCAGGGGCGGGCTGCCCCAGACAGCCAAGTCAGGGCAGGGGCGGGCTGCCCCAGACAGCCAAGTCAGGGCAGGGGCCGGCTGCCCCAGACAGCCAAGTCAGGGCAGGGACGGCTGCCGCAGACAGCCTAGTAAGGGCAGGGGCGGGCTGCCGCAGACAGCCAAGTCAGGGCAGGGGGCGGGCTGCCCCAGACAGCCAAGTCAGGGCAGGGGGCGGGCTGCCCCAGACAGCCTAGTAAGGGCAGGGGCGGGCTGCCCCAGACAGCCTAGTCAGGGCAGGGACGGCTGCCGCAGACAGCCTAGTAAGGGCAGGGGCGGGCTGCCGCAGACAGCCTAGTCAGGGCAGGGACGGGCTGCCCCAGACAGCCAAGTCAGGGCAGGGGCGGGCTGCCCCAGACAGCCAAGTCAGGGCAGGGGGCGGGCTGCCCCAGACAGCCAAGTCAGGGCAGGGGCGGGCTGCCCCAGACAGCCTAGTCAGGGCAGGGGCGGGCTGCCCCAGACAGCCAAGTCAGGGCAGGGGCGGGCTGCCCCAGACAGCCAAGTCAGGACAGGGGCGGGCTGCCGCAGACAGCCAAGTCAGGGCAGGGGGCGGGCTGCCCCAGACAACCAAGTCAGGGCAGGGGCGGGCTGCCCCAGACAGCCAAGTCAGGACAGGGGCGGGCTGCCGCAGACAGCCAAGTCAGGGCAGGGGCGGGCTGCCCCAGACAGCCAAGTCAGGGCAGGGACGGCTGCCGCAGACAGCCAAGTCAGGGCAGGGGCGGGCTGCCGCAGACAGCCAAGTCAGGGCAGGGGGCGGGCTGCCGCAGACAGCCAAGTCAGGGCAGGGGCGGGCTGCCCCAGACAGCCTAGTAAGGGCAGGGGCGGGCTGCCGCAGACAGCCAAGTCAAGGCAGGGGCGGGCTGCCCCAGACAGCCTAGTAAGGGCAGGGGGCGGGCTGCCGCAGACAGCCAAGTCAGGGCAGGGGCGGGCTGCCCCAGACAGCCTAGTAAGGGCAGGGGGCGGGCTGCCGCAGACAGCCAAGTCAGGGCAGGGGGCGGACTGCCCCAGACAGCTAAGTCAGGGCAGGGGCGGGCTGCCCCAGACAGGCAAGTCAGGGCAGGGGCGGGCTGCCCCAGACAGGCAAGTCAGGGCAGGGGGCGGGCTGCCGCAGACAGCCAAGTCAGGGCAGGGGCGGGCTGCCCCAGACAGCCTAGTAAGGGCAGGGGCGGGCTGCCGCAGACAGCCAAGTCAAGGCAGGGGCGGGCTGCCCCAGACAGCCTAGTAAGGGCAGGGGGCGGGCTGCCGCAGACAGCCAAGTCAGGGCAGGGGCGGGCTGCCCCAGACAGCCTAGTAAGGGCAGGGGGCGGGCTGCCGCAGACAGCCAAGTCAGGGCAGGGGGCGGACTGCCCAGACAGCTAAGTCAGGGCAGGGGCGGGCTGCCCCAGACAGGCAGTCAGGGCAGGGGCAGGCTGCCCCTGACAGGCATGCATATATATATATATATATATATATATATATAATATATATATATATATATATATATATATATATATATATATATATATATATATATATATATAGAGAGAGAGAGAGAGAGAGAGAGAGAGAGAGAGAGAGAGAGAGAGAGAGAGAGAGAGAGAGAGAAAGGTAGGAGAAAAGCACACAGAAACTGTATTGGAGGGGATCTAAACATTCCCTCTAATGCGTTATGCGTGGTTTCCTCCGAGGCTATGGGTCCCCCTTCTTCCAGCTAGAGGTGGTACTCCCTTCCCATTATATATATATATATATATATATATATATATATATATATATATATATATATATATATATATATATATGTCGTACCTAGTAGCCAGAACTCACTTTTTGGCCTACTATGCATGGCCCGATTTGCCTAGTAAGCCAAGTTTTCCTGAATTAATATATTTTTTCTAATTTTTTTCTTATGAATTGATAAAGCTACCCATTTCATTATGTATGAGGTCAATTTTTTTTATTGGAGTTAAAATTAACGTAGATATATGACCGAACCTAACCAACCCTACCTAACCTAACCTAACCTATCTTTATAGGTTAGGTTTGAAAATGAAAACTCACACCCCAGAAGTGACTCGAACCCATACTCCCAGAAGCAACGCAACTGGTAACTACAGGGCGCCTTAATCCACTTGACCATCACGGCCGTCAAAAGGAAGTGATAGCCGAGGCTATTTGAGCCACTTCCCCGACGGCAACTCGGATGGTAATCTTGGGCATAGCATTTCACCAAATCACCTCATTCTTTGGGGCACACGTGAGGAACACAAATGCGAACAAGCCTGAATGGTCCCCAGGACTATATGCGAATGAAAACTCACACCCCAGAAGTGACTCGAACCCATACTCCCAGAAGCAACGCAACTGGTAACTACAGGGCGCCTTAATCCACTTGACCATCACGGCCGTCAAAAGGAAGTGATAGCCGAGGCTATTTGAGCCACTTCCCCGACGGCAACTCGGATGGTAATCTTGGGCATAGCATTTCACCAAATCACCTCATTCTTTGGGGCACACGTGAGGAACACAAATGCGAACAAGCCTGAATGGTCCCCAGGACTATATGCGAATGAAAACTCACACCCCAGAAGTGACTCGAACCCATACTCCCAGAAGCAACGCAACTGGTAACTACAGGGCGCCTTAATCCACTTGACCATCACGGCCGTCAAAAGGAAGTGATAGCCGAGGCTATTTGAGCCACTTCCCCGACGGCAACTCGGATGGTAATCTTGGGCATAGCATTTCACCAAATCACCTCATTCTTTGGGGCACACGTGAGGAACACAAATGCGAACAAGCCTGAATGGTCCCCAGGACTATATGCGAATGAAAACTCACACCCCAGAAGTGACTCGAACCCATACTCCCAGAAGCAACGCAACTGGTAACTACAGGGCGCCTTAATCCACTTGACCATCACGGCCGTCAAAAGGAAGTGATAGCCGAGGCTATTTGAGCCACTTCCCCGACGGCAACTCGGATGGTAATCTTGGGCATAGCATTTCACCAAATCACCTCATTCTTTGGGGCACACGTGAGGAACACAAATGCGAACAAGCCTGAATGGTCCCCAGGACTATATGCGAATGAAAACTCACACCCCAGAAGTGACTCGAACCCATACTCCCAGAAGCAACGCAACTGGTAACTACAGGGCGCCTTAATCCACTTGACCATCACGGCCGTCAAAAGGAAGTGATAGCCGAGGCTATTTGAGCCACTTCCCCGACGGCAACTCGGATGGTAATCTTGGGCATAGCATTTCACCAAATCACCTCATTCTTTGGGGCACACGTGAGGAACACAAATGCGAACAAGCCTGAATGGTCCCCAGGACTATATGCGAATGAAAACTCACACCCCAGAAGTGACTCGAACCCATACTCCCAGAAGCAACGCAACTGGTAACTACAGGGCGCCTTAATCCACTTGACCATCACGGCCGTCAAAAGGAAGTGATAGCCGAGGCTATTTGAGCCACTTCCCCGACGGCAACTCGGATGGTAATCTTGGGCATAGCATTTCACCAAATCACCTCATTCTTTGGGGCACACGTGAGGAACACAAATGCGAACAAGCCTGAATGGTCCCCAGGACTATATGCGAATGAAAACTCACACCCCAGAAGTGACTCGAACCCATACTCCCAGAAGCAACGCAACTGGTAACTACAGGGCGCCTTAATCCACTTGACCATCACGGCCGTCAAAAGGAAGTGATAGCCGAGGCTATTTGAGCCACTTCCCCGACGGCAACTCGGATGGTAATCTTGGGCATAGCATTTCACCAAATCACCTCATTCTTTGGGGCACACGTGAGGAACACAAATGCGAACAAGCCTGAATGGTCCCCAGGACTATATGCGAATGAAAACTCACACCCCAGAAGTGACTCGAACCCATACTCCCAGAAGCAACGCAACTGGTAACTACAGGGCGCCTTAATCCACTTGACCATCACGGCCGTCAAAAGGAAGTGATAGCCGAGGCTATTTGAGCCACTTCCCCGACGGCAACTCGGATGGTAATCTTGGGCATAGCATTTCACCAAATCACCTCATTCTTTGGGGCACACGTGAGGAACACAAATGCGAACAAGCCTGAATGGTCCCCAGGACTATATGCGAATGAAAACTCACACCCCAGAAGTGACTCGAACCCATACTCCCAGAAGCAACGCAACTGGTAACTACAGGGCGCCTTAATCCACTTGACCATCACGGCCGTCAAAAGGAAGTGATAGCCGAGGCTATTTGAGCCACTTCCCCGACGGCAACTCGGATGGTAATCTTGGGCATAGCATTTCACCAAATCACCTCATTCTTTGGGGCACACGTGAGGAACACAAATGCGAACAAGCCTGAATGGTCCCCAGGACTATATGCGAATGAAAACTCACACCCCAGAAGTGACTCGAACCCATACTCCCAGAAGCAACGCAACTGGTAACTACAGGGCGCCTTAATCCACTTGACCATCACGGCCGTCAAAAGGAAGTGATAGCCGAGGCTATTTGAGCCACTTCCCCGACGGCAACTCGGATGGTAATCTTGGGCATAGCATTTCACCAAATCACCTCATTCTTTGGGGCACACGTGAGGAACACAAATGCGAACAAGCCTGAATGGTCCCCAGGACTATATGCGAATGAAAACTCACACCCCAGAAGTGACTCGAACCCATACTCCCAGAAGCAACGCAACTGGTAACTACAGGGCGCCTTAATCCACTTGACCATCACGGCCGTCAAAAGGAAGTGATAGCCGAGGCTATTTGAGCCACTTCCCCGACGGCAACTCGGATGGTAATCTTGGGCATAGCATTTCACCAAATCACCTCATTCTTTGGGGCACACGTGAGGAACACAAATGCGAACAAGCCTGAATGGTCCCCAGGACTATATGCGAATGAAAACTCACACCCCAGAAGTGACTCGAACCCATACTCCCAGAAGCAACGCAACTGGTAACTACAGGGCGCCTTAATCCGCTTGACCATCACGGCCGTCAAAAGGAAGTGATAGCCGAGGCTATTTGAGCCACTTCCCCGACGGCAACTCGGATGGTAATCTTGGGCATAGCATTTCACCAAATCACCTCATTCTTTGGGGCACACGTGAGGAACACAAATGCGAACAAGCCTGAATGGTCCCCAGGACTATATGCGAATGAAAACTCACACCCCAGAAGTGACTCGAACCCATACTCCCAGAAGCAACGCAACTGGTAACTACAGGGCGCCTTAATCCGCTTGACCATCACGGCCGTCAAAAGGAAGTGATAGCCGAGGCTATTTGAGCCACTTCCCCGACGGCAACTCGGATGGTAATCTTGGGCATAGCATTTCACCAAATCACCTCATTCTTTGGGGCACACGTGAGGAACACAAATGCGAACAAGCCTGAATGGTCCCCAGGACTATATGCGAATGAAAACTCACACCCCAGAAGTGACTCGAACCCATACTCCCAGAAGCAACGCAACTGGTAACTACAGGGCGCCTTAATCCGCTTGACCATCACGGCCGTCAAAAGGAAGTGATAGCCGAGGCTATTTGAGCCACTTCCCCGACGGCAACTCGGATGGTAATCTTGGGCATAGCATTTCACCAAATCACCTCATTCTTTGGGGCACACGTGAGGAACACAAATGCGAACAAGCCTGAATGGTCCCCAGGACTATATGCGAATGAAAACTCACACCCCAGAAGTGACTCGAACCCATACTCCCAGAAGCAACGCAACTGGTAACTACAGGGCGCCTTAATCCGCTTGACCATCACGGCCGTCAAAAGGAAGTGATAGCCGAGGCTATTTGAGCCACTTCCCCGACGGCAACTCGGATGGTAATCTTGGGCATAGCATTTCACCAAATCACCTCATTCTTTGGGGCACACGTGAGGAACACAAATGCGAACAAGCCTGAATGGTCCCCAGGACTATATGCGAATGAAAACTCACACCCCAGAAGTGACTCGAACCCATACTCCCAGAAGCAACGCAACTGGTAACTACAGGGCGCCTTAATCCGCTTGACCATCACGGCCGTCAAAAGGAAGTGATAGCCGAGGCTATTTGAGCCACTTCCCCGACGGCAACTCGGATGGTAATCTTGGGCATAGCATTTCACCAAATCACCTCATTCTTTGGGGCACACGTGAGGAACACAAATGCGAACAAGCCTGAATGGTCCCCAGGACTATATGCGAATGAAAACTCACACCCCAGAAGTGACTCGAACCCATACTCCCAGGAGCAACGCAACTGGTAACTACAGGGCGCCTTAATCCGCTTGACCATCACGGCCGTCAAAAGGAAGTGATAGCCGAGGCTATTTGAGCCACTTCCCCGACGGCAACTCGGATGGTAATCTTGGGCATAGCATTTCACCAAATCACCTCATTCTTTGGGGCACACGTGAGGAACACAAATGCGAACAAGCCTGAATGGTCCCCAGGAATGGTCCCCAGGACTATATGTGCCCCAAAGAATGAGGTGATTTGGTGAAATGATGCCCAAGATTACCAAGTTGCCGTCGGGGAAGTGGCTATAGCCTCGGCTATCACTTCCTTTGACGGCCGTGATGGTCAAGCGGATTAAGGCGCCCTGTAGTTACCAGTTGCGTTGCTTCTGGGAGTATGGGTTCGAGTCACTTCTGGGGTGTGAGTTTTCATTCGCATATAGTCCTGGGGACCATTCAGGCTTGTTCGCATTCATATATATATATATATATATATATATATATATATATATATATATATAATATATATATATATAATATATTATGTATATATATGTATATATATATAATATTATGTATACTGTATATATATTTTGTATATATGTGTGTGTGGGTGTGTGTGTGTTCACTTCTCACAGTGATAACTTTGAAAAGTGAACAAATATGTCTCAAAGTGGATTTTCATACTCTGGAATTTTTGTTAAAATGTGAAGTGAAGTGTGAAGTGAACTAAAATGTGAATTTTTACATTTTGTTAAAATGTAAAAATGTGAAATGTGTTTAGAACACATTATTATTTCCAATTTACTTGCATTAATTGTAGTTATATATATGTGTGTATATATTTTCAGAAATAAGCGTGCTCTCTGCAAAGTTGGGAACCTGATCCCAAAAGTGTCCCTTCAACCATGGAAAAACGAGCCAGTGTGGACATGAACAATGAATTAAGATAACGGTAAAAACATTTATAAATAAAAAATAATGGCTGAACTTAAAAATCCAAACATAAATGTTGAGTTTAACAACAACAACAACAACAGTAAGGATCTGTACTGACTGAAGCTAAAACAGTACTGTTCAGTATTTACTTTAGTTCAGCTTTAGTTCTAGTTCAGCAGTATTTACTTTAGCAGCTTATTGTCTTCATGCTCTTTAACGAGCCTCTTTATTATTGATGCAATCATGCAACTTATTGTGTTGCATGATTCAAATCCAAAGGAATTCAGACTGGGAATGCATTTAATTAAATGCAATAACAAAATATAAGTTCCTAACCAACATATCATGGATTGTCTAGGTGAATGAAACCAAAATGTGTTTTGAATTTATATACAGTATATACAATACTTGTATATACTGTATGTGGATCTATATATATCTATAATATATATATATATATATATATATATATATATATATATATATATATATATATATATATGTCGTACCTAGTAGCCAGAACGCACTTCTCAGCCTACTATTCAAGGACCGATTTGCCTAATAAGGCAAGTTTTCCTGAATTAATATATTTTCTCTAATTTTTTCTTATGAAATGATAAAGCTACCCATTTCATTTTGTATGAGGTCAATTTTTTTATTGGAGTTAAAATTAACGTAGATATATGACCGAACCTAACCAACCCTACCTAACCTAACCTAACCTATCTTTATAGGTTAGGTTAGATAGCCAAAAAAGTTAGGTTAGGTAGTCGAAAAACAATTAATTCATGAAAACTTGGCTTATTAGGCAAATCGGGCCTTGCATACTAGGCTGAGAAGTGCGTTCTGGCTACTAGGTACGACATATATATATATATATATATATATATATATATATATATATATATATATATATACCAGAATGTGACATGCATTCCCAAATAAATTAAGGTTTTGAATAATATTATGGAAATATTTGCATGTAAGTAGCTGTTAGAGAATTCTAAAGTGTATATAAATACAGCTTGTATTTTATACTTAGGAATTTAACTAATACTTAAATCATTAACAGCATAATCAATATCTCTTAATTATTCACATCACAAGAAATAATGGTATTCAGCTCAGATAAACTACATGTATAGTTTATGAATATACTATGTATAGGGTGAATATACTATGCTTCAAGGCACATGTAGCCACATATATATATATATATATATATATATATATATATATATATATATATATATATATATATATATATATATGTGTATATATGTATATCACGAAAATAAACACGTGATTAAGAATGTGACAATGTCAGACCACGGAGGAAAAATGAAACAGGAATTTCCTTAAGTACTTTCGTATATTAAATACATCTTCAGACTAGGTCAACCTTCTGAAGATGCATTTAATATACGGAAGTACTTAAGGAAATTCCTGTTTCATTTTTCCTCCGTGGTCTGACATTGTCATATATATATATATATATATATATATATATATATATATATATATATATATATATATATATATATATATATATATATATATATATATATATTTGAAGACAATAAATCGTGCCTATGTAAATGTATCCTTGAATATATGTATTTGATTTCCTTAACATTTAATGGAGTTTGGACATTGTTGGAGTGCTTTCCATACAGTTCATCAAATTATAAATTATTACTACCTTTTAGGGTAATACCCAATTATACTGTAATTCTGCTGTTCTGTACTGTCATAATAAATCTTTGTTTAATTTAATTACAAATTAATTAACTTTAATGATAACCATGTTATATAGTCACATTACAAGCCTTTTTTTTAATATTGTGTCCTTTTTTCCATACATAAGTGTATATCAATTTAAACATAATGAGGTGGCATCATAATCCATCCATATTGTAAACATTAATCTGCTGCCAATCAATTTAAGAAATATCGAATGTGGTGAATATCACACGCTTCCTGGGCAGGTTAAGGATGTCTTTTAGTATGACCAGTTGAAATTCGTGACCTCTCAAAAAGGGTGGCGTCTTGGCCTGTGCTGGCCTACTTAAGGGAGAGGACTTGTCTTATCATCTCACTACCAACCTGCCAGAAGCAGAGCTCTCTACCAACCTGCTAGAAGCTACCAACTTACAGTTTACCTAGTGTGATGTAACTGGGTACAGATCACCAGGAGTTAGGGCCAGTTTACCTGGTGTGACGTCACTGGCTACAGATCACCTGGAGTTAGGGCCAGTTCACCTGGTGTGATGTCACTGGCTACAGATCACAAGGAGTTAGGGTCAGTTTACCTGCAGTGATGTCACTGAGTACAGATCACCAAGAGTTAGGGCCAGTTTACCTGGTATGATGTCATTGGGTACAAATGTGGGAACCGACCTGTGAGATTTATATTTATTTAATTTATATGAATTTATATTTACGTTAATTTATATATTTCGATAGCAATTTGTATGATAAGTGGACTGTATTTCTGCAATATTTCTCATAAATCGATCCTTACACATTAGGGTGGTTTATATTAAATTTATATATATGCAGCCAATCAAACTACAGTATTGACTACATATATTAATAAATAAATTGGAGGTGCCTTATCTTATTGTACAGCAGGCTTAGTCCACCAGATATAACTAGGATGTAGACACCAAATTATCCTCATGTGAGGCTAGCTTCCATCACCCATAGTAACTGATGTACCAAGATTAATTCTTGCTTCCTCTTCTTGTTCCTGTCAAAGGGCATTAGCTGTAAGCCGGAATCCTAATATATGACAGCTATATCAGAGAAAACACTGAATATTAGATAAGGTCCAAGAATTAATTACCTGTGTTGAGTCGATTGTTTGTGTTATAACCGGTTCGCCCTTTCTCTACCTAACATTAACTGGCCAGAAATTATTAGATAAACGGGTTTCGGTTAGACACTTCCCTTGTGGTTGTTGATAGCGTGTTGATGATGGCAGAACACTTAAGTCGATCTCCATAACACTTTGTCCAAGAGAAATCATAGGAGCTGAATTTGCTCCACGACTCTGGTCTTAACAAACAATGGTTGACCCCTCTCACTACAGATACCTTGGCTCTCCTTATCCAATGTTAATAAGTGATAGAAAGGTCACATTTACTCTATTTTGATATTGATAATTAAGTTAATTCAAATGAGATGTTTTTATGATATTAAAAGTCCAAAGACTAATGTATTTAAGAATAATTCCCAACAGAATAGCTGGTGAATTTATAGTACTATGTGGCAATGATATCCCGTTTTCTATTGATGGAAAATTCCACTACAAGCTACATTTTCTATGGGTTAACTTGTGTATACAATAACAGCAATATTATCTGCATATTGCATGTAACATTAGTAAATGGTGTCGGGTTCTCCGACACATGTTGCTTTCCCCCCCCCCCTCCATGTTGCTTCCCCCCCCCCCTCCATGTGGCTTTGCCCCCCACCCCTCTCCATGTTGCTTTGCCCCCCCACCCTCCATGTGGCTTCCCCCCCCTCCATGTGGCTTCCTCCCCTCTATGTGGTTTTCCCCTCCTCCATGTTACTTTTCCCCTCCCTCCATGTTGCTTGTTCCTTGGTGTACTGAAGTTAAGGCGAAGAGGTAGAATAGCTTGTTAACAGAGCCAGAGTGCATGGGGGAATTGTGTAAAACCCCGGTTTGTGTCTCAGACTGTAAGAACCACCAACACCATCCAACACGTGGTAGTGGACCAACATAAACATCGTGTGACTTGTAGATTCTATATCCATCCTGTTTACAATAGTGTATCCAATAGATATTCCAACGTCACATCGTTTTCTGTTACGTTCCTACAATCCATTCTCTAAGATTTTCAAAGCTTACACTATTGTATATAATGTTGCAGATAATGAATCACAATAACATAAATAAATAAATAAATAAATAAATAAATAAATAAATAAATAAATAATTAAATAAATAAATAAATAAATGTTTATTCAGGTAAGGTACATACATACAAGAGATTTTTACAAAAATTGCTAGGTTTATAGATAGAACTAGTACATACAATGCCTAAAGCCACTATTACGCAAAGCGTTTCGGGCAGGAAAAACATTAAAGACTAAAACTTAATACTAATTGAGTTTAAAGTATAAAATGTGTTGAGAACAAATAAAAATAAAAATAAGAAAGGGGGGAACATGGCTGAAAGAGCAGCACAAATATAATTAGGTCGACAAACAGCGGTTTAAAAAAAAAAAAAAAGACATGGGTTGACAATAGAGGGGTAAGGTAGGTTACAGGGAATTTATTAGGTAGTGCTTCGTTTTTATCTTAAATTGGTTGAGAGAGGTACAGTCTTTAACATGATTGGGAAAGTCATTCCACATTCTGGGTCCCTTGATTTGTAGAGCATTTCTAGTTTGATTAAGTTGTACTCTTGGAATATCAAAACTGTATTTGTTTCTGGTGTGGTGCTCATGGGGTTCTGCTACAACCTTAAATGAAGCTTTTGAGGTCAGGATTGGCATTACAGTTCAGCGTTTTATATATGTATAATACACATGAGAGAATGTGCAGTGACTTAATATCTAACATATTCAAAGATTTGAGTAGGGGTACCGAGTGAGGGTCCGTCTAATTACCACAAGCTACACAAGCTTCAGAAAGCTTCCTGGCAATACGTTAGTAATGAATAAATATGATATGGTAGGTTAGGCTGACCTAACCTAAACTAACCTAACCTAACCTAACCTAACCTAACCTAACCTAACCTAACCTAACCTAACCTAACCTAACCTAACCTAACCGACGCTTGGATCGTCGACTTTATTTGGTGTCATCGTCTAATTTCTTAATAAAAATATACTTTTTCAGATTAAAATTATGTTTTCTCGTGTTGTACATTCAGCACCAACATTATAATGAGTAAATATATCATATTTATTCATTACTAACATATTGCCAGGAAGCTTTGTGTAGCTTGTGGTAATTATTATTATTTTTTTTTTTGAGATATATACAAGAGTTGTTACATTCTTGTACAGCCACTAGTACGCGTAG